GCTGGATGCTTTCCAAATACAGAATACACACAATTGCTGGTCTGAGAAGTTTGCACTCTAGAGATGTTTAAGTAAACAAAGGAACAACAGGAACAGAAAAAAGGAGCAATAAATATATTGCAGTCACAAGACTATTGTTAAGACTGTCAGAATTTTCTGTTTATAAATAAGGCATATAAATTATAATTAACTTACTCATTTAACCAGTTTTTGTTTAGTAGGCCTGCCTACTATGATTGTTATGATATGCTTTAAAAGTTTCTATACTGACTGAGCCTAACAATTTTAATTTCCTCCTTCTTTTACTTTAGGATCTCTTTAACTAGGTTCCTCAGTTTTGTTTTTTGTTAAGTTCCCTTTTCAAAAGTTTGTCATCACAGTGCTAGGTTTTAGTATGACTCCTCTCTCGCTGACTTTGAACTTCACTATATTGTGCGCTCTAGCAAGAGCTATTACAAGAAGTAACCTTTTCACTACTAAATTCAGCTGCAAAATTCATCTTTCTTTCCCAGTGTTCTTACCCTGTCATCCATTTTTGAATCCCTCCACTGGCTCTCCATTCTCCACCACATCAGATTCAAGCAATTTGTGATCACCTGCAAAGTTCTTCAGAACTACCTCCTCCTTATTTGCCCATTATCCCTTTCTCCCCAACCTATGGTGCTAGTCTCAACAACCCATTTGTCCACTTCTCCCAGTCCCACACACTTTCTTCCAAATTGCTCCCATGCATCCACTGCCCACTCTGAGCTGATCCACAAAGGTTGAATGATGAAAAAAAACTTGTATATTTGATTTTGCTTAGACCTCTCCCTCTCCCCACTTCCCCTACACAATCTCTCTGCTTGTACACTGTATCTGTTTTCTCCATCCTTCCTGTATTTTTGTCTTTTTCAGACTGTATGTCCTTCAGGGCAGGGACCATGTCTTCTCTGCATTTAGAAAGTTCCTAACACAGTTTGAGTGCCACCACAATCTAGATAAATAACCATTAATAATGAACTCTGGCATCTTCGACCCTGCTGTTCTTTTCTGAGAGTTGAAATAAAAAGTGTGTGCAATATATCTGGCTTCCTAGCATGCTAAAATAAATACTCCAGCTGCATTGTTTGGGAAAAGGACTTCAGTTCTGCTATGTTTGCTTTAATTATCTGCACTACTAAACAGGCATGTTTTATTTATGTTCATTCTACCTTGCTAGGGTAAATATCATGCAATACATTTGAAACTTTAATAGAGTCTCTGTATTCGCAAAAAGAAAAGGAGTACTTGTGGCACCTTAGAGACTAACCAATTTATTTGAGCATGAGCTTTCTCGATGAAGTGAGCTGTAGCTCACGAAAGCTCATGCTCAAATAAATTGGTTAGTCTCTAAGGTGCCACAAGTACTCCTTTTCTTTTTGCGAATACAGACTAACACGGCTGTTCCTCTGAAATCTGTATTCACAATGAACACTCACAGGAAAATGAGGATTTTTTTCATACTCTATCTTGTCAACTTTTCACTTTAGGTGTACCAAAAGCTGCAGCAGCCAGTACAGCACCATCCAAGTCAAAGACTTTCAGTACAAAGTAAGGCTCTTATGTTTGGGTATGAAATTTAGAGGCCAGCAGAAAGCCCAAAACCAAATGTTTTGATTTGACAGTTTTGTCCCAATGAAAAATAATGAACAGTGTGGTCTGAAGTATTTATAATTTATTATTTATGTGAAGCTGGAATAGTGTAAACAACCAGTAAATTGGATTTTCACCTTCTTCCTTTCCTTTCATTGCCTTATCTAACCTGGGCAAGGTTTATACAAGGTGTCTCCCATCTCCAAAAAGCAGAAACTTAAGCATTATATCCAGTCTGATTTTTGAAAGGGGATTTATGGGCTTTCATGCACTCATTTATCCTAGCCTGCCAGTTCCCAACAGCTTCCCATGCCATCCCCCTTTTCCAGAGGTGCTGGAACTAGGGATGCTACCACACCCCCTGGCTTGAAGTGGTTTCCATTATATACAGGGTTTAGTCTGGTTAAATAGCTCTCAGCACCCCTGCCCTTTTCGCTATGCACAAGCTGAGAAAAATCTCTTCTAATAATCTAAAATTGTTCTTAATCAGGCACTCATTTAAGCCTGTGATTAATACAAGGAATATAATAAAATAAAAATAAATAATAATAATAATAACAACAAACACAGGCATGTTGGTGCCTTCTTAGAGAAATACACCAACTGATTTGAATCCCAATGGTGTGCCACATAGCTTCTGATTCTGCAATCCTTTCTCACATGAGTAGTCCCATTGACTACTTGGCTGAATAAGAGTTCCAGGATCTTAGAAAGGGAATAATGCCCCCTAATTTGAAGAGTTATATAAGGCTTTGAGAGCTGGACTACCAAAAAGCAGCTCATAGGTCCTTCTGAAGCTTTTAGTACTTACCATACAAATCAGTTTTGTGACAACCCTCCTTTCTGAATTTGTATAATCAAATTTTATTGACACTTCAGCCGTTCCAGTTTGGAAGTAGAAATGCTCCTTCAGAAAAGCAACCAGCATGAAGACAACACCCATATCACACAAAATGTCGTCTTCTCTGCTGAAAACAAGAATGTTAAAAGTTGTGTTTTACCATGAACCAACCATAAAATCCTTCAAATAGCAGAGACTGCACACTTCTACTTTGCAATACATTGACTTGATTCACTACTTTTTGTGGTCACGAGGAACTGCAGGTCCAAAACTGGCTTCTGTCTACTGTTCCAGATTGTTTATCCAAGACTTCTGAGTCTGGCACCCTGTTAGAAGCAAAAAGTATACACTTTGCAACTCTTCTGGCCTTTCACAGAAGGCGTGACCACAAGATGTATGGAATGGGACATTAGATATACTTCACTTCATTGGTGTTGAATAGTAACCAAAGCCAAAAAGGAAACTGTTAGTAAATAAAGGATTTGATAATTTTCTTTGGATTTCTTAATGAGTTTCCCTTTGTCCTATAAAATCATGTAATCTTAGATATTTATAGGTTTCAGAGTAGCAGCCGTGTTAGTCTGTATTCGCAAAAAAAAAAAAAGATTTCAACATAAATATCTAAAAAGAAAAGGAGTACTTGTGGCACCTTAGAGACTAACAAATTTATTTGAGCATAAGCTTTCCTGAGCTACAGCATCTGAATGCATCTGATGAAGTGAGCTGTAGCTCAGGAAAGCTTATGCTCAAAAAAATTTGTTAGTCTCTAAGGTGCCACAAGTACTCCTTTTCTTTTTAGATATTTATGTTGAAATCCAGACTGTTATCTGTTCTAGGATAAACTATATAGGTATCATAATAGAGCCCACAACTATATAGGTATCATAATAGAGCCCACCGTATTTGAGAATTTTCAGAACAACATTTGTCTATATGTTCCCCTTAATAATGGTAGTAACTAAAATGTAAACAAATTTTGTAATTAAACTAGAAGCACTGATTAAGAGTATAATTGATATTAAAGGAACACTTTTATTAACCCAAATTTAACCATATAAACCCAAATTTAATTTAGACTTCTCGTAGTCAATAGGGCAATGATTCTCAGACTATCTTAGTGGTCAGCATAACGAAACATTTTAAAAATCGAACAGTGTTAAGTGGAGGGCTAGCGAGAGGAGGTGGGATCATGAGTAGATCTTGGGTTACAAAGTGGTGCAAAGGACAAAAAAACACTAGAGAAGCACTGTGAGAGAGCATGCTGGATTTTCAACAGCTTTATTTATCAAATTAATGCATTGGGTGCTATGTAACAATACATATAATACAGTCCTGGCCCTACCGATCTCATTTTATAGTTTAAATAAAATAAAAACGGAATAGGTGAGATACAAATATTGTACGAGAGGGATAAAATGGCTAACAGTATTAGGAACACAAGGTTGCAGTTCAGTTATCTGTATAACTAAATCCCTTACACGATTCAATATACACACACACACACACCTATATAAATGAATGTATGAACAAGAGACTGAATGGACCTGTGACACAGCACTTTTTTTAGTGATCATTAGCATTCTGTGACTAAAAGCAGTACTGTATCTAAACCCAAGGGCTGTGGAGCACTGAATAGACCTGGATTCTACTCTCAGCTCTGCCACTAGCGTGCAAGGTGACCTTAAGCAAGTCATTTCACCAGTTTGTGCCTCAGTTTTCCTACCCGTAAAATGGGGATAATGTTGTCCTCCTTTGGAAAGCGTTTTGAGATCTAGGGATGAAAGGCGCTATACGGCTACCAACCCTCCAGGACTGGCCTGGAATCTCCAGGAATTAAAGATTATGGCATGTGAAGAAACCTCCAGGAATAGGGTCCAAACAAAACTGGCAACCTTAACAGATAGGTATTATTATCATACCGCTAAAAAGCGGGATCCATCCTAAAGCCTTCTAAGTGCATACAGCCTTTTTGATACCCCTCACTGACACTCAATCTACTATGACTTGAAATAGTCACCGCTCCCTTGGACCAAAATATGATCCATCAGACTATAAGCAAAAATATAACCGCCCCATTAGCCAGGCCAAGGTATTTCCAGCATCCCGAGTAACAGGGGCAGTTCTCCTCCGGCCGGAGCGAGCCCCCTGTACGTGGGACTAGGGCTGAAAACAGAGGCATGAGAGGCAGCTGTGCCTGCATTTTCGGGTGCTTCGTTGACACTAACGCCCCCTCCCCTATTAGCTGACCTCGCTCCAGGCCGACGCGCCTTCGGGTCAGCTCTGGCTGCAAACCGGCCTGTACAGTGGCCGTACGCTGCCCGGGCGCATGCTCAGCACAGGCCCTCACCAGCAATGGCCAGCCGCACTACTGGCACCGCCCCGCACAGCGCTCCACGCAGCCGCACCTGGACAAGCCGCTGCCCTCACCCCACCCCCGCGGCGCGCGGCTAACTCAACCCCCCACCCCTACACACGTGGCCGCTCCAACTGCCGAGCCGACAATCATCCCGTGACTCTGATAGGGCGAACGGCCGCCTAAAGAACAGGCTGCGCAAGCGAGTCGAGAATCCCCGTCGTGGGGTGTACGCATGTGCTATAGAAAGCTACGCATGCGCATCTGGAGTCCCGGGGGGCGTGCAAGAAAAGCAGTTTCTTCTTTAACTCTTCCTGTGCCGGGCGTCGCCGATTCGGCGGCAGTTACTGCCACTGGTGGCGCGTCGTGACGCTTCGGCCAGCCATCACGTGGGCGTGACGCACAAGGGAGAGGGGCGGAGGGACGCCGGTGTGCGGAGCCCCCCAAGGCTCGTGCGCTACTGGGGGAGCCGTTCCCCCTCCCCGCCCGGGGCGCAGGTGCGTACTGGGGGGCGTGGGAAATGGGGGCGTGTGTGGGTTTGTTCCCAGGGCTCCCCTGCCTCACATTTGTTTCCCTCTCCAGGCTGCTCTGTGGCGGCAGTGGCTGGCGATGGCCCAGGCTCCCATGGAGGAGGAGGAGTGCCCCGAGCTGGTTCCCATAGAGGATCAGGCGGTTGGGGGAGAAGAGGCTGAACCCAGCCACAGCACCAAGATCCCAGTCACTATCATCACAGGCTATTTAGGTAACCAGCTCAGCTAGCAGCCCTAAGCCTTGAGCTTCCTCTGTGGGGTCTTTACAAAGCAAACCCGCGCTATTATGTGCTTTTTACTGGCGCTCTATCGGCGGTCCATACAAAACCAGCATGTTGTTTTATGCATTATACAGTGACTTCAGTTGGGTGCATGGGGAGGAATTTGACTGTTCGTATTCTCCTTGAATAGAACGTATTTCATATTCATGTGATATGTTTTACTTGCAGTTGAGGAATCTGTCGAGTGAGGAGCCCTACTCCAAACAAACCATGCAACCATCTTCCTAGTAGTCTAAATGTCATGACAAAAAGAGTGTATAACTACGTATCTAACATCACTTCTGATGTTCCTCTAAACTACATGGTTTCCATTTACATTATGTACAGTACAAGCTTGGTGTCATGGTACCACTATCTTTAGAAAGTTGCAATGTGCTTGTGGAATCATTTTGGAGAGTTAAATGAGCTTCTGTGGTTACTCTTATAAAATAGCTCCATGAGTCCTGACCTGCACAGTTAAGGCTTGTCTACACAGCAAGTCACTGCATGGCAAGCCCGTAGTGTGAATCTACAGCTGAGCTGCCCTCTGGGACTTTCAGTGCGCTGTAGGAGTGTCCACATGGGACATTACTGTGCTGCAAGCTGGTGCACATCCTGGCTTGCTGTGCAGTAATTTGCTATATAGACAAACCTTAAATTGGCTTTCCATCTGTAGCAGTCAGTACATTTTGTTCCATCAAAAGATGAGTGCTAAGATTACATGAGTAAGCACTCAAAATGTGAGGCAAGTGTTTAAATGGATGTCTTGCATGACTGATTGTATAACTGACCAAACACTTTTGACACAGTTTGAAAAAGTGCACTGCAAAATTGTATGAATGCAGTATTGCCAACCCCAAGCATTCAAAATTCATGAGATTGGTTTAAAAATCACAGAAAGGACATTTTAAAAAAGATTCTGTTTCAAGAGAGCCAATGCAGAATATTTTTTTATTTCCCAGCTCCTAGGGAGCCCAGCTGCAGAAGCTCCTGCTGCTCTGCTTCTTCACCAACCACCTCAAAAATGATAATTATATTTTTTTTCCCCCAAAACATAGTGACCAGCAGAGGTGACAGTTGCTCCATAGTTAAGGTTGCAACTCAATTTATGTTTATAAGCCCAATTTTGGCCTCTCACTCTCAGATTCACAGAAATCCATACAGGTCTCAAAACTTAGATTAGATCTAGGGCTGAGGTAAATTTTTTCAGCAAAATTGAAGGGATCAATAGGAAAATAGAAAGGTGGATAAGGAATTGGTTAAAGGGGGGACTACAACGGGTCCTACTGAAAGGTGAACTGTCAGGCTGGCGGGAGGTTACCAGTGGAGTTCCTCAAGGATCGGTTTTGGGACCAATCTTATTTAATCTTTTTATTATTGACCTCGGCACAAAAAGCAGGAGTGTGCTAATAAAGTTTGTGGATGATACAAAGCTGGGAGGTATTGCCAATTTAGAGAAGGACAGGGATATCCTACAGGAGGATCTGGATGACCTTGTAAACTGGAGTAATAGTAATAGGATGAAATTTAATAGAAGTGTATGGTCATGCATTTAGGGATTAATAACAAGAATTTTAGTTATAAGATGGGGACGGAGATATATAAGGTATAATGGAGGAGGAGAAGGACCTTTGAGTATTGGTTGATCATAGGATGACTATGAGCCACCAATGTGATATGGCCGTGAAAAAAGCTAATGCGGTCTTGGGATGCATCAGGAGAGGTATTTCCAGTAGGAATAAGGAGGTTTTAGTACCGTTATACAAAGCACTGGTGAGACCTCACCTGGAATACTGTGTGCAGTTCTGGTCTCCCATGTTTAAGAAGGATGAATTCAAACTGGAACAGGTACAGAGAGGGGCTACTAGGATGATTTGAGGAATGGAAAACTTGTCTTATGAAAGGAGACTCAAGGAGCTTCGCTTGTTTAGCCTAACTAAGAGAAGGTTGAGGGGAGATATGATTGCTCTCTATAAATATATCAGAGGGATAAATACCGGAGAGGGAGAGGAATTATTTAAGCTCAGTACCAACGTGGACACAAGAACAAATGGATATAAACTGGCCACCAGGAAGTTTAGACTAAAATTAGACGAAGGTTTCTGACCATCAGAGGAATGAAGTTTTGGAATAGCCTTCCAAGAGAAGCAGTGGGGGCAAAAGATCTATCTCGCTTTAAGATTAAACTCGATAAGTTTATGGAGGAGATGGTATGATGGGATAACATGGTTTTGGTAATTAAGTATTCATGGTAAATAGGCCCAATGGCCTGTGATGGGAAATTAGATGGGGTGGGATCTGAGTTACCCAGGAAAGAATTTTCTGTAATATCTGGCTGGTGAATCTTGCCCATATGCTCAGGGTTAGCTGATCGCCATATTTGGGGTCGGGAAGGAATTTTCCTCCAGGGCAGATTGGAAGAGGCCCTGGAGGTTTTTTGCCTTCCTCTGTAGCATGGGGCACGGGTCACTTGCTGGAGGATTCTCTGCTCCTTGAAGTCTTTAAACCACGATTTGAGGACTTCAATAGCTCAGACATAGGTGAGAGGTTTTTTCGCAGGAGTGGTGGGTGAAATTCTGTGGCCTGCTTTGTGCAGGAGGTCAGACTAGATGATCATAATGGTCCCTTCTGACCTAAATATCTATGAATCACAATTCCAAAAATCCATGGAAGATTTTTGCCAACTTTAACCCCCCCCCCCCCCCAAAAAAAAAAAAAAGATGAAATCAACTCTGCTGAACTTGCCTAGCTGAGTTCTCATGCCTAGGACTAAAATTTAGTTGATTAGTATGAAATTATTAACATTTCTTTCGACACAATGCTATGAAACATCTACTCCAGCAGTATTGATATAGAATAACAAATGACTGCTGGGAACCTAAACTTTAATTTCAAAAAACAGTTTTCAGCCGAGTTCATTGCAAAAATAGATAGGAATGTAACCTCATTGTTAAGAAGACTTATCAAATGGGGAAAGAGAGAATTTTATATCAAAAGATTTGCCATGGGTGGGAAGAGACTGGTGAGCCCATTAAGACTTACAGGGCATGGAGGGAACTCAGTAAGGCTTCTAAGATTTATGTGGAGTTCTGCAATAATCCCCTGGGTTCTCTTCCAAGTACTACAAATAATTTTTAAAAAATTTAATTACAAATATAAAAATAAAATGTAAAGCTTCTGAAGGTATCAGATCAGAGAATGAGTACTAGCTCTCCATTGGTCGTTAATTTCTAAAAAGTATATTTCAGGAGCATGATGGTAATATTGAATTTGAAAATTCTCCTTATATTTTATTTTTGATCTACTGAAATTTGTGCTGTTTTTTAGGTGCTGGGAAGACCACTCTTCTTAACTATATTTTGACAGAACAACATACCAAAAGAATAGCAGTTATTCTAAATGAGTTTGGAGAAGGTATGTAATGCTACAGAAATATTGTATAGAAACAAAAATTGGAATACATAAACATTTTCCTGTTTTGTTAAGAAATGCTTTAGGAAAGTAAACTATTAAAAGCAGACAAATGGTATAATGGTGCATGGATTGATATCTAAATTGATTGATCCCCAAACTAAGGCTATCGGAGTGGCTTATGCAGTTTCTAAGCAGTGTAAAATTGAGACCATGTCCTCAATAAGCGTGTACATGTGGGATGAACACTACAATAAAAATTCAGAAGTTTGCTTATAGATTTGGGATATGTCACATCCCTTTTGTTCAAAAGAATGCTCGTAGACATTGCTGTTCAACTAACACTGAATATAAATAACTTGCACAAGACCAAACTAAAGAGAAGATTAGTAGTGTAATAAATCAAGCTTCCCTAGCAAGAAATATGTCAAATGATTGTAGTAGAGCTTGCAACTGTTGAAGCTGGAAAATGAGATTCCTTCACTTTTTCCAGAAACTTAGTGCTAATTTTTTAAAATTGGAACTGATTACTTTGCTCTGCTTTTATATGGCTGTTGATGATGAAGAGATATAGTACTGAGAACCTGTGCCATCCCCTACCCTACTATAGTGATGTTGGCAAGTTTCCATCTTCATTATAAAAATTCTTGCTATGGATAACTCAATTCATAATCTGTGAGCAGAGTCGAGAGAAGATTATTTCTAGGAGTAGTAGACAAAGCACTGAGTTGGGAGTCAAGAACCATGGAGCTCTAAATCTAGTACGGCCAATGACTTGCTAATTGGCCTTAAGCAAGTCACACAAACTCTCAGTTAATGTCTGCAGTTTTAAAAATGTGTAAGAGCTAAGTATTAAACCATTTTTCTTTGTCTCATACATAAATTCAATTTGTCAGCATAAATGACTATTATACCACCGTGAATGCCTCACCTCCATTCTGCCTACACATCCAAATAAATGGGGAATACTTCTACTTCTTGCATGTTTATTTTTTGTTCTTCATAGGATGATCTGGCTCTTGGATCTTAAGTTTGCCTACTATAAAAATGATTGCTTAAACTAAGTATAATGTCTAAAGAATTTGTCAGAAAGGTTTGATGAGAACATGGAACACAAATAAAGCTCAGAAATCTATCCCATTTGAATTTTTCTCATCTTATTTTTCAGGTATTGTTGCACGTTTGTAGGTTTAAAATTTGCTACTTACACCCTTCCTGTATTTCTAGGAAGTGCCTTGGAAAAATCCTTGGCTATAAGTCAAGGTGGAGAACTCTATGAAGAATGGCTGGAGCTCAGAAATGGTTGCCTGTGCTGTTCAGTAAAGTAAGGAATATTTTGTGGAGGTGGTTTATATAAACATTCGGCGTAAGCTTGGGGTTTGTTCTCTCTTTAAATTTCATTTTTTCACAGTCCATTATGTATACCTGGATATTTGATAGGCATTAGGTATATCATCTACAGCGTTTAAAAAAAAAAAAAAGCTAAATGATGCTGAACTTCTTGCTCTTCTATTTTTTTTTTAAATGTCAGAATCTTGAAGTAATGTGTGTTTTCAATTTTGGTATTTTATTACTTTGTATCATAATTGTTTTACATACTTGCATCAAATGTTGACTGACCTATTGGGGAAGAAGAATAGTTGAATATCTATAAAAACCACAGAAAGGCAAATTCTCACTCTCAAAAGGAATGAATGTTCTACTGATAGTATCACAGAAACTGAGCACAGTGGTTTATTAGAGGTCAATAACAATGTATAAAATAGAATGACTAATTAGTACAATATGCCCTCCATAAGATATTCAAATATAGTATTTTGGAAAGTAGCTCATTTGAAAGGCTTTGCTTATTAGATAAAACTATGACTAGCTGAATTGTAGAGCCCCCTTGTTTAGCCTCTTATTTTTAATCGAATATTAAGAGAGCCATCCCCAGAGGATTCTCCTGTCGCAGATGAAATTGCAAATGTTGATTCCTTCCAGTCTGCAGTCACCCATGGAAATAGTTACTGAAGGTTTTATTGCCCCTAATATTTTCCTGCCCTGTGTGCCTTCGTGCTCTACCTGTGCGGTAGAGCCATCGTTGAACACACATGTTCCATAATAACTTGCAGACAACAGTCATGCTTAACCTCAAGAAGGTGGTAGAGGAGCTTCAAAATTGAGGGAAGACCTGCCTTAGAGTTATCAAGGAAATTAACAGTATGTTGATTAAATTTGCTGATGGTATTATATTGAGAAAAGCTACAAACACCAGTGAGGTTGGAGAAGTAATACTTAAAGACCTAGAACAATTTGAATTTGAAAATGGACATAACATAGCACACATAATGATGAAATTTAGTGTTGGTGGGTGGGAGGAATACAAAATAATCTATGTGAAATAGGGTTGGGGAATCCAAAATACAGATACTTGATAGGCAGAAACCTGGAAATCAGTAATCCTAAAAAAGACATAGGAATGATAGTGGACAGCAAATTATACATGAGTTTGCAGTGTGGAGAATTTTTGGTTTACATTGCCTAAATGTAGTTTTGGATAGATATAGATATATATGAGGTATCACATCAAGGAGCAGGAATAACGACCGCATCTGCAATAGTCCCATCTTTTTGTTCTGTTTACAGCGTCTAGTACAGTGGGGCCCTGGCTCATGACTGGGGCTTGTTGGCACTACTGTAAAACTAATAACACTGTGTTCAGTTTTGGGCATCTACTGTCCAGAAACATGAAGAACCTATTGAAGAGAGTTAAGAGAACCAAAATGATCAGGGGCTGGAGGGATTGATTTGAAGAGAGTTTTAAGAGATACGAATATAACTTGCCGAAGATTACTGTGATGGAGACATAACTCTACAAATATTTGAAAAGAATAAAAGTAAAGGGCGAAAAATTAAGGGTAGTATTTGGGGTTCAGGGGAGAGGTTATAATTAAATAAAGGGGTGAAATTATGGGTAGTAATATAGACCCCAATTAGTGCGAACTTTCTGACAGTGAGACTGTTAGGCTGCAGAGTAGTCTCCCAGTGGAAATTGTATAAGCTTTAACACTTGGAACGTTTTAAACTTGCTTGGACAAAGCAGTAGAAAAGGTACTGTAAGTGACCTCTTGTATTGACAGGGAGACAGACTAGGTGACCTACTAGGTCTTTTCCTTTTTTAATATCTGTCACATGAATGCTGATGCATGTAATTAACATGTTGGATTCCTTTTATAACGCTAATTGAGATGTACAGTAACACTTTTGTTGAGTCACTAATAATACCACACCAACTCAAAGCGGCACCAGACCCTGCCAGAACAACGGTTGCAAAACCTGCAGACACATTTCCACTGCTACAATGATCAACACTCCCCCCAACACACCTTTGAAGATTCATAGGTCATCCAGTGCACTAAATGCCCCAATAACAACTATGTGGGTGAAATCAGACAATCACTATGCTCTTGAATGAACTCTCACAGGAAAATGATTACCTGTGGGTGAATACTTTTCACAAAGGGATCACTGTCTATGTGAGCTATCAGTTCTCATCCTCAAAAGAAACCTGCACAGCGCTTTCAAAAGACGAGCCTGGGAGCTTAAATTCATAACTTTGCTAGATACTAAAAATCGTGGAGGGAATAGGAGACACTGGATTTATGGCTTATTACAACAATTTATAAACCACTAACAAGATTCCCCTCCTCCCTTCCTTTCCCTATGACTGGAGGGGTGTTAATGGACCACTTCACCTTGAAAGTCCCTTGACATATATATTACCTAGTTATGCTAAACAATGTGTTCCACCTTGTATTTAGCTGTGACACTCTGAGTAGGTTTCCCAGACCTGAAGAAGAGCTCTGTGTAGCTCCAAAGCTTGTCTGTCTCACCAACAGAAGTTGGTCCAATAAAAATATATTATTACCAGATAGTTAAAATAAGTTAGAGGTTAAGCGATTTGTCTAAGGTTGCACAGTGAGTAGTTGGCAGTTCTGAGTATAAACTACAAATTCTAACTACCAGTCCCTTGCTTTAAGGATTAAACCACATTATCTTCCATATGAATAAAAAACATAAAACATATTCGTATCTATTGTAGCCCCTCTAAAGGCTGCTCTAGTTTAGGGTTTTGTTTTGTTTTTGTTTTTTTTAACAGGGACAATGGCTTGAAAGCTATTGAGAACCTGATGCAGAAGAAGGGAAAATTTGACTACATACTACTAGAAACCACTGGATTGGCAGATCCAGGTAGATAATATATAGTCATATAGCCATGGTGAATATCCTGTTTTTATAAGAAGGTTAGAAATCATTTTTTATTTGCTTGCATGGTATGCATTTTTATTTCAAACGTGTGATAGTGTGGTATGTTTTCACATACTTGACTGCAATACAAATTATGACATTGGATCGTTAAAAATTTTGTTGCACAAGCCAGAATAGTATCCAACGCTCTCTCCTGCAGCAGTATGGGCTCTGAAGGCTAAAAGGAGTGGAAAAAATGATAAAATATTTTTCAGTGTGGCTCAGAATATGCAGGCAGCAAATATCAGACATGGCAGTGAAAAGTGTGGTATAAAAACTGATGGCTCTGAGTAAGGAGGTACTATTTTTATGTAGCACTTTTCAGATTATAATTATGCTTTGATTATATATATTATGTACATGTATTATGGGGATTGTCAATGATGGACTTGTATTTTGTTAAGGCACAGAGCATACTGTCAAATAGGTAAATGTATTATCTAAATGTGTGAATCAGATGAATATACAGAAACTTCCAGTTCGCAGCTGGTAGCACAGAGTTAAATATTGCTGAATTTGTAGACAATCTCTCATGCTGTATGTACATATATAATTAATTGTTTATTTTTTCCAGTCCAGTAATAAAAGAAGTCAGTGCTTCAGTGGGTGATGTTTACATTTTAGTATACAAAAATGACATGTATATGTTTTTAAAATTAAGGAAAGCTATCTTAAAAACAGTCTGCCTTGACCTCTGTTAATTAAAAACCTGTTGTTAGCCAAGAAAGTGAAGGAAATTCTTATTTCCCATTTAGGAGACTGACACTCTTCAGTTCAAAGCCAAATAATTGTCATGGTAAAGTAATTTCCTTTAAAAGAAAGGACATTGATTCAGCCCCTGTTACACACACATCCTATTTCAGTCAAATTGGAAAACTATTAAGGTTTTAGGGGGAAAAAATCAATAGATATCAGGAAACCATTAGATCTTGTGGCCCTTGCTATATCTTGCATGAGTAATCACCGTAAACAGCTGACAGGTATTTCATAGTTGACAGAAAATGATGCTTGGGGGACCACATCTTGTCAGTTCAGTTGGATGGCTTTAGACATTGGAATGAGTTCAGTTATCATTCTTTTTCCCTATATGTTTCATTCTTTTAGACAGCCCTGTCACTAACTAGAGCCATGATGCTTTGAAAAATAAAATACTTTCTATTGCTGTCAGCTTCTCCTCTTCATGTTGTGGCACTGTTACATGTTAAATCAGTTCGTGTCAAAACAAATTATGATGTCTTATTTATAAATATATAACATTTATTCTGAAGACACTAGACCCCTTTTTGTACTGGGGCTTTTCGGGAATAACCATGAATATTATACCCCTCTACCTTTTCCTCTCAGAGCAGCTATCTTTTGCGAAGGCATTGACTTGTTAAATTTTATTGGCTGATCTTAGTCCGCATGTTTTCAGAACTGCTTTTTATGCACAGGTTGACATATTATTTCAGAGACACATGTAATGCCTACCCTTCCACGATTATGTTTTTTCCTTCAAGGAAATGAAAATACTTTGTATTTAAATAGCACCTTTTTCTTCCAAGAATCCCATAGTGCTTTACAGAGTGAGGGATCAATTCTCCACTGATTCGTGTAGTCATTTACTTCTCCAATATGAATATGAAATGCTGCCAAGTCAGAATTCTCCACTCTCACCATTGTATGCTTTGCAGAGGTATAAACGACCAAACAAGGTGCAAGGCAATAGATAATCTAGCTCTTGTAATTGTATTACTCTACCTATCTCTGCAGAGATCCTCTTCTGGGGTGGAAATATCAACAGCTAATTTATTCCAGCGACATGATGTGTACACACGTATGTGAAAGGAAATATGAAAAATGCCATATCCAACATAAACTACTGTGGGAATATAAATGAATATAAATATAAACCTGAGTTAGAATTGAGCCAGGCCACTAGTGCTAACACCTTTACTCTTACAAAAAGTACCTTAGATATTTAATACAGCGTTTTTTTTCATTTCAATGTTTAACCATCAGTAATGAAGCAAAATGTATCATTATTAAATATTGAAATTGAAGACTTCAGAAAAACTGTAGTGTTTGGTATCAATTCAACAAAATATTACTAGTTCAAAGGAAAGCTTTAATGTTCAATAAATAAACATTTTGTTTAATATTGATTTTATAATTGACGGTTATAAAATCAACTTGGAAACCAGTTCATTCTCTTCCAAAGGAGTTTCACAAATGACATTTCAGAAAGATACTTGGTTCCAGTACCAGGCTCAGAAATAATACCAAATTTAATTATTTTTTTTAAATTACTAATAGTGTCAAAAATTCTTATTCTGTTAACTTACATATTGAGGAAGAAATGGATGCAGCTTTTCTGAAGTGCTGTCAGCCTCCGGATTTTTTTCTTGGTCATGCCTTGTCTGTACCTGGAAAGTGCACTGGTGTAGTGAAATCAGTGCAAACCTCTAATGTAGATGCACTAAACTGGTTAGTCTTGCTTGTATCAATTAAGCTTCAGTTACCAATTTAAGAAACATTGCTATGAACTAGTATTAACTGGTTTAAATGCATCTACATTGATTTTATTAAATTGCTGCACTTTTCTAGTATGGAACCCAGCGTGCTGTATTGGGTTATTTTCATCTGTGTCCCACACTGCTTTCTCACGTGAGGAACTGGGCAGGGTATTGGGGAAAAAAGAAGTCCTGATCCAACCTTTTTTCCTCCCACCATAAATCCCTCCTTTCTCTCTGCTACTACATAGAGGGGGTACCTGAAACTTAGAGTAGATAAGATCACCCAAGGATAGCAGGGAACCAATGACAGTACCCTAGAAAACGGGATTCAGTAGATAAAGGATCAGGGAAAAGGAGCAACAAAGCAAGCTGATGATACATGCATGGTTGGAGAGGTAAGAGAGCAGAATCATGAAAGTGTAGTCAGGAGTGTGAGCAGAGAAGAGGAAGAAGTGTAGAAAATAGTGTAGAGGTTGAGGAGGATGAGCACAAGCCCTTACTTTGAACAAAAGGATGGATCAGTTTTAGTGAAATGGCAGAGGTGCAAGGGGGAGAAAAACACAGAAGAAGAGAACTATAAAGAATTTGGAATTAAGAAATGTGGTTGCTGACATGGTGGTAGAGTCATGTTGAGGGGTTTTTTTTGTTTTGAATTTTTTTATTTTTATGATGTACCTGTTAGAGCTCACGCAACTTAGATGTTGCTATCACTGCTTTCAGGACTTACAGCATCATCATTGCACCAAATGTATGGTTGGAGAACCAACATTTTTAATACTTGATTTCGTGTTCTTCTGGCATCAGGGGGAAAGTTGAAGAGTAGCAACTTCGAACAGGTGTGATTTTAAAAACTGCTTAGAGCTGTATGTTTTCTGGTACATCATCCATCTTGCAACTAAATGTCTTGCTTGTTAGGTGCTGTGGCATCCATGTTTTGGGTTGATGCTGAACTAGGAAGTGACATATATCTTGATGGTAAGAAAAAGTGTGTTTGTCTTCTATAATACTTGTGAGGGGTTTCTCCCACTTCAGTGAGCATTATTTGGACAATTTATTTTCAAGAAGCAAACAAGTAGCTTGATTGCAGAGGCATGAGTGAAAACTTATTTGCTAGTATTTATGTAGGGGTGACTTCGTGTTCATTATTTTCTCAATGACATATATTTAAACCTGAACCTTGTTACTTATCTATACATCCCATCTTTGGTTGGTTTGTTTTTTCCCTCCTCTCAATCTCTTTCTTTAGCACTCTTGTTCTCTGTCCCCCTTTCTTTCTCTTGTACCAGTTGGTTTGTTCCCCTGCAGTCTCCTGAGGCCCACTGGAGTGGTAAGCCTCTCAAAAATATTCAGTGTATTGTAGTCGGGCTTATTTTGTTCACATTTTTTTACTTATTATCTCAACAGTCTTCTTAGAAAAATATATATTTCTTTTGGCCAGTCTGAGAGAGCCTGTCTGCTCAGTAACATAGGCCACCAAGAACACATTGCCTTTCGTTCTCTTGTCTCTTAACTGACTCCCCCATTTAATACTGATTCAAATGCATAGTTTTGGTCCTCTGTGGGATCGGTCCAAGATACATGAGGGACCACCTCACCTTCTGTTCTTGTTTAACTCCTTTGCTAGCTGTGTTCCACTGACAAACTTGAGTGAAGCTTGTGTGTGACAGGAGATGGTTCTCTTGGCGAGTGGCTGTGTATCTGGAAGTTGCTCCCAGAAATGATCAGAGTGACCATGCTCCTCAATTCCTTCAGAATACTACTCCTATAACACCACCACCACCACACCTTTCCCTACATCCAGTCCCTGCAGACAGGAACAAGGAGAAAGATGCATCTGTCTTATGTGTTCACCTCACCATTTTGGTAGGCACTCACATACCACAGTGATGAGCACCATATAAGAACCTAAATAATTAGGAAACAATTATATTTTCAGCCAGATTGGTGAAAGTTTTGTGAGGTTATAAGTAACTGAAAGTGGGATTAGAATAAAAACTCTTGTGTAACCTTAACTATTGAAGTTGCTGCTGCCCCTGTAATTATTCAAGATGCTAACGTACTCTTAGCAGTTTTCAGTTTATTTCTTAATCAGTACTCTTCATTCTAGATGTTACTTACAAACTTTCCCCCCCCAGGTATTGTATCTGTTGTTGATGCCAAGTATGGACTTCAGGTAAGATAGTAATATTTTAAAAAATACTGTAAACCAAAAGCGTAGATAGAAGTGATGGTCTTTTACATGTTTTGTTTATGGATTAACTTCTAATATTAATTTCTAATTCTTGGGGTGCATGAAGCTGTGTTGCAATTGCAGTTCCATAACAAATTGCAGCATTGTTTCATCCAGATAATCCAAGGGTGTTAAAAAGCCTCTCCTTTCCTTTAATGTAATGCTTTGTAGGTGAACAAGAAGTAGTGTTACACAGTAGTTCACAAGCTGTTGTCTGCAGAGCACTTCTCTGCTGAGAATTGTTAGGTCAGGTGGTACTTGTTCCTCTTAGTCTCTAGCAATTTATACAGATACCCAGGCTCTTAATTGCAAACCGGAGCTTAGATTACTGTAAAATTGGCTGGAAAGATGAAGATTCCCTCTTTGGTCCCCACGAACAATCAGTGCTACTTTTAAAGAAAAGAGGAGCTGATCTCAGGGACTGGAATAGGCAGTCATCAGCAGGCTTAGAACTGCTATTAGAAAAAGAGTATCTAGGGGAATGGGAAGAAGAGAACGAGGCAGTATGTACAAAGGTGAAGAGAACCAGGAGGCCAGACATATATTCAGTTTAAAGGAGGACCATACAGCAATGAAGTGGAGGAGGAGAGGACCAGGTGGCAGGCAAACATGTATGTGTGGGGAGAGAGGACCAGAGGAGAGGGGAAAGGGAACTGAGATGAGAACAGTAGGTACTGTGACTAATTTCAAAAAGGCTAAAACTTTTTGGATAAAGAGAGCTAAAAATACATGTTTTCAATTGTAGACAATTAGCGTAGTTGTCACAGGGATATTGTGAGATGGAGTGAAATGAGAGGTGACCCACAATTATCATAAATGAAACCAGGTGCAATTAAAATGTGATCAACACTATGAAAAAGTTCGTTTCTCTGATTTTAACATCTAGATACTTTCTCTGTTTTTAAGCATACTTAATGTTTTAGGTAAACTGAAGGATAGTGTTTAAAGAGAAATAAAAATATTAAGAGATCATTCTTTCATTGATATCCTTGTTTGCTCTATGCTCCTTAGGGTTTTATGTCTACATTTTTGTGACCTCTGAGTGTTTTTTATTAATATTCCAAAATCTGGTTAGAAAGGGTCTAATATGCACAACGCATGTGTCCGGGAGACAAATATGAAGCATTGAGGTAAAACAATGGAAAAAACTATGATAAAATGTACTAGCAGTAAAGTTTACAAAATTCTATGGAAGGTTTTTTTTTTTTCAGTGCTTTCAAAATACAATTGGTGAAGGAGAATGTAGAACAGTGGAATCAAAATAAAATTGCAAAGAATTGGCAAAATAGCTAGAGTGCTTAAACTTTTAACACTATCTATAAAGGATTAATTAAAGCATGCCATTTGTCATTAGTTCTATTTTCTGGATAGCTTCAAGAATAGTGAGGCATCAGAAGGAGGGAAGTTGGAAACTTGTTTTAAACATTCCTAACATTAGATACATTTTACTCAAGGGAGTTAGAGGTACCCAGAGTGGAAGTTTATAATCTCTCTGATCATTCAGATAGCAAATTCTAGGTGACCAGAAGCTCTTGCACATCATATCCTGTTTCAGTAAGGCGCAGTGTTCAGGACACTATCTTTAGATTGCATTGCATTGCAAAAGTGTTTTATTATCCAAATAGAATAATGTAAAGCACTATAAATGTTATACATCTTCAAAAGCCTTTATGCACACTAGCCAGTTAATCTTTATAACATCGCTATGAGATAAGTTTTAGTCTTTTTACTAAAGAAGAAACTGAGACAGAGAGATCATGTATTTTGCCCAAGGCCATACAAGAAGTGGCAGAGCAAGGATTAGTACCTTTTGACTCCCACACTTGGTTTCAATCCATTATGCTGGACATTTCATTACTTGCAAAATGCTGATTTTTGGTTTATATTGAAGCAAAACTAATTTCATTACACAGAGCAGGGTCCTGTATATACCTGAATACTATAATTGTTCAATTTCTGGGTTTAGTGCATGTTCTTACATTTGTTGAGTACAGTGCTAACAACAGTAAGAAGTTTTGAAATAATACGTAGTAAATGTTTAACATCTCTGCTAGCCTGTAGAAACCTCTTACATTATTAAATCAATAAACTGACATACTCTCAGGATAATAGAAACTTTAAATTTTCTCAGTCATACTCCAGATAAATAACTTTTGCTTTGTACAAAGAATTTGCTAACTTGTCCATTTCTTTTGGTTGCAAAGCCTGACCTCAGCAGCTATTTGTGATTCAAAGAATTCTGAAGGCAATACAAGTAATGACACTGGGATAATAGGCAGCAATTTAAGGGTGTCATGCTTCACAGACCCAACCCATCACAAGCAGAGCTAAGAAATAGTGCCCTGTGGCCAGCCAGCCAAATTGAAACTGAAGTGGTAATTGATATCATGGACTATCACTCTAATGGGATTGTCACCGAGCAATCTGAAATATTCATTTTTTAATCATGGGCAAACGATTGGGCAACTTGAAATGACAGTTCTCTACTCTCAAGACCTGACACTCAGGCCACTGACATTGCTCTTTTCAGAGCTACAAATCTGACAGCATTTAATGCAATACAATCGATGAGTAGCGAGTTACAGAGAAAAGGTCAGAAGAGAGGTTTCATTCTAGTCCTCCTGTTATTGCACAACCTGTTTATAAACAGTTCAGTTAGAAACAGTTTTGACTTAAAAAAAAAAAAAAAAAAAAAAGCTAGGAAAAAAATAGACTGACATTATGCAATGGGATTTTTTTAGGACCAAGTCATTTTAGATGTCTAACTAATCTATTTGAAAGAGTAGTTTCTTATTTTTTTTAAATTGATGTGCATGCCGTGGAATTTATTTCCACCTTAAATCAGCAGTATTTTAAAGCCAAATCAATTTTAAAATAATATAGTTGATTGTTGGGTTAGCTGAGAGCACAGATAATGGGATAATCAAAATCCTGTGTAACTATCACAGGCTCATCAGACATGAACTCTTGTGCATCTCAATCCTTTGAAACAGAAAATATGACAGGTTTCCTGGGTGATGGTGGCCGACTCATGCAGACCTGGGGCAAAAGTTAAAGATATAACTTGTCAACTGATAAGCAAAATTTGATTAAAACAAAAAAGTAAAGTGATAGATGCTAATGCATGATTGCCCCAAACTAGTTTAATAACCCTTAGACACCTTGCAGTTACCTAGATAACTAACTGTTTGTTTGAAATATACATTATTACTCTTTTTGTTTAGCTTTTGATCTTAAAATACCTATTTTTTTTTCTCTATAAGCTAACACACAACATGGATTCTAATGCTTTTTTTCTCACAATAAACCTAAACATTTAAACAAAAACTGTCAAAGCTCAGCATTCTACAGCAATCCTATGATAATAACCAAAGAAAAATGTTGGTAAAGAAACAGATTTGAACTTCCAGAAAGGGTGGATGTATATTTTTTACCATCACGTTGTTTATACAAATAATAAAGATGAGCCGGGGCATACAAATACTGTAGATATCATCCCCCTTAATTTCTTGACTAATGTATCTAAAACTGATTTTTACCTTGATTTTGATGTTTGTTTAAATGGGTATTTGTTATATGAATACTCTTGATGTAATAATTGTTTTTAATCTTTGTTCAGCATTTGACAGAAGAAAAATCTGATGGCCTTATCAATGAAGCAACTAGGTATCAGTATAAAAACTATTAATGTAAAATTGGTAAAAGTTAGCAACTTCAGTGTGTAAATATTCATAGGAAATGAAAGTCATCCCAGTGGGCCTGCGCAGGGTCGTTTGTTCACTGTCAACTTAAGATCTAGAGACAAGGTGGGTGGGGCAGTATCTTTTATTGGGCCATCTTCTGATGGTGAGAGACACAAACGTTCGAGCTTACACAGTATGTTTCCTAGATCTTGAAGAAGGGCTCTGTTTAAGCTCAAAAGCTTATGTGTCTCACCAGTGGAAGTTGGTCCGTGAAAGATATACCTCACCCACCTTGTCTCTCTAATATCCTGGGACCAACATGGCTACAAAAACACTGCATATGGCTTAAGATCTAGTCAGTTTGTTTAAAAAACCCAAACAACCTCCGCTCTCCCGGTCCCCCTCCACCCGCACAAAAGTAGTTTCAAGTGCTGCACCTGCGCTTTAGTTCCCCTTCCAGCATCTGTATTTTACAATCCTTTCTTCTTCTTTTTTTTTTTTTTTTTTGAAGTTCCATATAAATGGCAGGGGGAAACTACCTACATAGTTAAATAGGCTATATACAAAGTTTTGTCAGATGCCCATAGTAAACTGAAAAGTAGAGAAATATTCTTCTTTATTTTCAGTTAAAAGAATTGATAGTACCAATAGGAGGTTTACTTTAAAAACAGCTTTAGAATTTTTTAGTGTCGCTTATTATCTTGAATTCAGACTGTAAGAGGGACTAAGTGGTTCATAGATTGCCTATCCCACAGTATTAGGGATCTAAAAGATCACAGTTTAATCCTCTACACTAGAGTGAGTGTTACTCTGCATAGCCTCATCTGCCGTTGCTTTTTTCTTGTAACATACCAGTGTAGTTCCAGTAGTGGTGGTAACAGTGGGATCACTAGTGTAGACAGGCCATTGGTATTTTAATCACTATCTAATCTTGACCTGCTTTGCTCAGGGTCAGACAACATAGTGATTAAAAAGTTTATGATCTGACTTTGCTGGTGATATCAGTAGGAAATTTGGGAGGAAAAATGATAGTGCATTCATAGTTTATGAAGAGTAAGATACATACAGAATTTACGAGTACAGTGTTAATGAAAAAAGCTTTGTCCTTAACACTGTAATTTAAAATAAATTGTTTTAATGTAAAAATTTTACAAAGAAGTTGCAAGAAATGTTTTTAGTAGCGGAACACTCCCTAATCCTATCAACAATGCAGTATATCAGAAAGTGTTATGTGGTCCGACTGATATATTGATTGTTCTCCTAATTCAGTGCAGACTTTCTTGCTTTGATCATGATACACAGTTTTTTTTGAGCTCATGGGAAGTGTGGTAACTTTGCATTGTGGAAAATGAATTTATGTATTTTAGTCTTCTCTTTTATTTTGTCTTCCTGTGTAGGCAGATTGCACTAGCTGATCTAATAATCATCAATAAAACAGATTTGATTTCACAAGAAGAACTGAATAAAATAAGAACAGCTGTCAGGTATGAAACTTACAGTATGAATAAGTTATACTGACTGACAGTTTTTTGTTTATATATAGACTTCTGCTTCTTATGACTGGCACAGGGATTGGAGATTGCATGATTACCATGACACAAATTATTTGCTCACAGGAGAGAGAGAGAGATTAAATAGTGTTCCGATACAGTTATGTACTTCCACAAATCTTGTTTTTTTGCATGTGGTGATTTCTGTGCACCATCCTTATCTACATGCATCTGAAGAAGTGGGTATTCAGCCCCGAAAGCTTATGCTCCAATACGTCTGTTAGTCTATAAAGTGCCACAGGACTCTCTGCCATTCTTATCTAGTAACCGTATAACCCCTTTTTAACTTTTCAGACTTCATTTTTTGTATCAATGCTTAAATATTTCTAAAGATACCTTTAAAAATAATTAATAGATATCTGGGGAGGCAAGGAGGATGCAGAATAATTTATCATTTATGAGTAAATGAACAAATAATATGGACAAGATTAGTGGTTAGAGGTGTAGGCAAAAATGTCTTCTGCTGCCACCACAATATCCCCACATCCTGTGAGGAACAAAAAAACACACCCCAAAAACTGAGTTTGAAAAAGTATTTTCCCATTTCACTGCTTTAACAAAATGTCCTAAATAAAAGGAAAAATGTTTAGGCTCAGCAACAAGTATAAACTGGGGGGAATTTTGCTTGAATAAAATATGTCCTCTGTAACAGTAGTCCTCTGTTGTCATGGATAGTGAATCTCCTGGCAAGCTGAGAGAGAAATAAAAATGGAGATTACTATGGGGGTTGTACAACAATTTAATAAGAGTTGGATTATTACTCAGGAGTCCTGGTTCTCATTTCCCTGCTTTGTTCACTACATTATAGAATTCAGTTTTTATTCACATCTAATTTCTCCTTTTTTCCCCCCCACCCTTTTTCAGGTCAATAAATGGGCTTGTCAAAATTTTAGAAACTCAGAGATCAAGGTAATTTCTAGTGTGGGGCAGTATCACTTGCTGCCCCTTCCTATTTCTGTTGTGACAAGTTGCTGTATATTTTTTAGTCCTATTCGTTTTAAAAGAAAACTACTTAAATAACTCCTTGCCTATTTTCCTGTTGTCACTTTAGATTAAAACTAACACTTTTAAAAAAAAAAAAAAGTCTTATGTTGTTTGCTTTCTCTTCATGTTTTTTCAGCTTAGAAATTGAAAATATACTATCAGTTTCCAATTAGGCAATTCCAGACTTTGTAAGGTTTAAATGCATACATTCAACGAAAATTAGGAGTTTTTAATCAGAATTGGAATACTAAAAAAATAAAATCCTTATTATATTTGTATTGGGTTTAGATTTTGCAAAAACTTAATTAAATTTTGTGCTAAATTTGACCCGACAGTGGCTTTCAGTTATTGAGACTGCACTAGCAACGCCACTGGAGGAGCATTACTGGCTGGAAAAGTGCTAGGGTAGACACAGCCAAGATGGCTCTGATCCATTCCAGCTGTCATAAATATAAAGGGAAGGGTAACCACCTTTCTGTATACAGTGCTATAAAATCCCTCCTGGCCAGAGGCAAATTCCTTTACCCTGTAAAGGGTTAAGAAGCTACGGTAACCTTGCTGGCACCTGACCCAAAATGACCAATGAGGGGACAAGGTACTTTCAAATCTGGAGGGGGGGATGACAAAGGGTTCTGGCTGGCTGTGTGATGCTCTTGCCGGGAACAGATCAGGAATGCAAGCCTTCCAACTCCTGTTAAGTTAGTAAGTAATCTAGCTAGAAAATGCATTAGATTTTCTTTTGTTTAATGGCTTGTAAAATAAGCTGTGCTGAAGGGAATGTATATTCCTGTTTTTGTGTCATTTTGTAACTTAAGGTTTTGCCTAGAGGGATTCTCTATGTTTTGAATCTGATTACCCTGTAAGGTATTTACCATCCTGATTTTACAGAGGTGATTCTTTTACCTTTTCTTTAATTAAAATTCTTCTTTTAAGAACCTGATTGATTTTTCATTTTTCTTAAGATCCAAGGGTTTGGGTCTGTGTTCACCTGTACCAATTGGTGAGGATTATTATCAAGCCTTCCCCAGGAAAGGGGGTGTAGGGCTTTGGGGGGGGATATTTTGGGGGAAGACATCTCCAAGTGGGCTCTTTCTCTGTTCTTTGTTTAAAATGCTTGGTGGTGGCAGCATACTGTTCAAGGACAAGGCAAAGTTTGTACCTTGGGGAAATTTTTAACCTAAGCTGGTAAGAATAAGCTTAGGGGGTCTTTCATGCAGGTCCCCACATCTGTACCCTAGAGTTCAGAGTGGGGAAGGAACCTTGACACAGCAGCTGGCAATCTTGCTGTAATTGAGGCTTACATGTAGAAATCTCTAGGTCATTTACATAGCTTTTCAGTGATGTGGTACCCGTTGTCATATGACACATCACTGAAAAGGCCTAACAGGCCAATAAGTGTCCAATGCCAAACTCTAATCACATGTACTGTGTAAAGCTCTTTATGCCTCTTCCAGGTTTGATTTAGTGGGACCTAGAAATAAATGGTGCCTGCAAAATTGTTTTGAAAGTTATGTCAAAATAGTCATAACACAAGAAGTAAGTGGCTTTACTCTTTCATATTTTTGATTGGCACTCTGGTTTGAATGCCTTATTAGACAAATGAAAAGGTGGTATTTTTTTAAGAAAAGACTGTGTCTCTCCCACCTCCCATGGAGCTCTCAGTAGTGTTTATTCCGATCCAATAATGGATTTAATCGAAAGGACTGAGTGAAGTTGTGACAAAAGCACACTCTTGAAACATGTCATTTAGGGTTTAGTAACTTGTGTATGAAGTACAAGTACCACACATTGAAGTGCTTAAATGAGGCTAGATACTCATCATAAACCTTTCAAATGCAGATATCAATAAATATTCAAAAATGTAGATGGGAACTCTACATTTCAGTACAGGTCAAAATAGATTGAGCACAAATGGTTGTGGTTTTCTACTCCAAGTGTTTTCCCTACTAACACTGGCATATAGGTATTTGTGCTGTTGAATATAACTTCTCATTATTGTTTCCTTTGTTTATAGCAATATTATGCACCAGTATAGTTTTCATCAGAAGATGTGTGCCCATTGAAGGGCATTAGTTATCCTACAGTATTCCTTGAGATCCTAAAAAACAGCAATGTGGATGTTGTAGCACTGGTAGTGGCTCAAGGTAGCCACTGAAGCTCAGACCCAGGGTCTCAGCGGGGCTTGGGCTCAGGCAGCTAGCCCAAGCTGCCATCAGTGCCACAATGTCCATACTGCTATTTGTAGCATGCTAGCTCAAGCCGAGCTAACGTGAGTCTGTCTGCTTACATTGGGAATCACACTTCTCAGCTGCAGTGTAGACGTACCCAATGAACAGCTGAAATGGGATGTAAAATTAAATCAAGTCCTGGTGTGGAGTTTACACCTTAATAAAATCTGATAAAGTCTGCCAAGTAATAGAGCAACACCTTCCCTTTTATAGCCTTACCAAATACACACAGACTTTAAGGCCAGAAGGGACTGTCATGATCATCTAGTCTGACCTCCTGCACATTGCAAGCCAGAGATCCTCGCCCACCCACTCCTGCATAACCTCTGACTGAGTCATTTGACATCCTAAAATCTTGATTTAAAGACTTCAAGAAAATCTACTGTTTACTCTAGTTCAACCCAGCACGTGTTGAACTAGAGAGAAAGCACTTATTGCTCTGGTGCATTACTATATTGTGCCCATCGACAGGAAGTATGGCTGGACATCTGACATTTGATGCAGTTGACCTCCAGACTCTACTGTTCTTCCTTCACAGGCAGCATAGGGGTAGATAGAAATGCCCTGAAATGGCTTAGGTCATTCCACTCAGAATTAAGCAAAGGGATCCTTATTGGCAACTGTTCCTGCATCTCTGTGACTCATTTGGTTGGTCCCACAAGTCTGTTCTCTCCCTCATTCTGTTGTTATCTATATGAAATTGTTGGGAGAGCTAGTGAGACAGCACAGGCCAACATGCCAGCAGTGGACAGATCACACTCATCTGTGCATCCTTTTAATGTAAAGGAAGCTATAACTTGCCTAGTTGAGATCAGTGCTTGTATGAAGAGGCGCTGGCTGAAGCTGAACCCAGACAAAATTGAGATGATGCGGGTGAGAAGAAGGAAGTGCTTTAAAGAAATCTCCATAACTACCTTATCTACTAAAGACATCTCCTCTCATTTTATTGGTCTGAAGCTCTGGGATCCTCTTTCATTCTGCACTACATTTGGACACCCAACAGTGGCAAAAAACATGCACTTTCATCTGCGGGCATCCAAAAGATAGCACCTGATCTTGGCAGACTAGTATCTGGCCATAGGCAGTCCTAAGCTCAACTACTGAAATTCTCTGTATCTATGAATGAAGGCCCTATACTTTAAAAGGGCTAGTTCAGGCTGCAGCAGCCTGCCTGCTTAGCAGCATAGGTTCCTAGCAATACATCATCCCACTCTGCAGTGGCTTCCTATTGAACCCAGAGCCCAGTTCAACATCATTGTACTGTTTTTCAGAGCCCTGCATGGAGTCGTTCTTTAACACCTAAAGGACAACTCATTTTTTGATCTTTGGTGATGACTTTTGTCAGTGGAACAAAAGAAGTGTTGCTCAGTAGGGGGAGAATTGTGGGTGTAGCAGACAGGAGCTGGCCCAAGATTGCCAGATGAAATAAGAATAACTAACCTCCCAGCATTCAGAACTAAATACAAAACATACACCTTTTCTCGCACTCTCCCACAATAGTACCCTTACTTGTACCAACAGTCTTCTCTTGTGTGTTCAGTAATTATTAAAACCAAAACAAGCACACACACAAACCCCTAAGCTTCCCTAACAGGGAAGGGGAAGAGAGATTATTGCCATTCTCACTCATGGAGCTGCTCAGATAAGACTGGTCGGTGCCAATATAGGAATATAGGTAGAAATGCTTTTTTTTTTTTTATAGCACCATGGAATTTTATTAAAGAAATTTTCAGATGGTATTGTGTCTGAGTTGATCTGATGGTCAGTGTTTGGATGCTTAACATTTCCAATAATGTTAATCTTGTTAACATGTCCATTGATTTAACTTATTTGAAATTCTGCTTGCAAGCTGCTCCTTGCTGGAAGCTTTCTGTCCTGCTGCTAAACTGTTGCACTATGAAAAGTCTTCTTTGCAGTGACTGTCATGTTAGTTTATATGGATTACCCTCCTATTGTTTTTGTTGCTTTGTTCAAGTAGGAAGGTGAAATGTGTTTAAGAAGCTTTTACAACTTCACACTCCTTTCTTATTAACTTTTAAATTCTGCTGAAGAATACTTGGAACAAGAATAAACAGTACTACAGAGGGTCCTTAATCATAAACTCAGTTATTATGGAGTGTTTCCCATTGGTCATTAATTGCTTTTTCTGGTGATCTTAACTAAATAATTTTTGTTAAATCAGCATGGCTCTTTTTAACAAAGAATAGTTAATAACTTCAGTGGGCTTTTTAACATTTAGGGCTAGATTTTTCAAAACGGTTCTGCATCCACCAGCTACCATTGGCGACAGGGGGAGTTGCTGGATGCTGAGCACTCCTGAAAATCTGGCCGCTTCATTTACTTATCTAAATGGGAGCTGAGCATCTCTGAAAATCATCCCCCTTTATGGATGCTGAGCGCATTTATAAATCTGGCCCTTAACAGTAGCTCCTTTATTCTGATGCAGCTTTGGTTTTAAAGTTTCTGCAATATTTTTTAGACTTCTGCAGCAAAACTATAGATTCCATTAACTATTGCTAGTACTGTGAATCTAGAGACTGTAACCCTGGTAATAGTATGTGTGTTTGCTTATGTGATTCTTATTGAAACAGTTGACTATGTAGAGAGGGAGGAAAATGTCTGTGAGAATACAATGGTGACTCCAAGTCCAGCAGGAGGGGGGAAAGTGTGTGGGGTGGGGCGGGGACACTGTCCTCACTGTTTGTACATGATTTGACGACGATGATGATGATGATGATAAACTTGGCATATTGGCTGGACAATACTAAAATCTGGGTTTTGTGCTGATCTGGTCATACATATTATGACATCCATAGAACAGGACAAATCCTAAATTCCATGCATACATCCTGTATGCAGGGTATAAGAGGGCAAAGCAATAGAAAGGAATCAGTCCCTCGTTGCACAGTGGCAGAGGAGATGCTCTGCAGGCACTATTGCAACATCTTTCAATTTCAAATTCCTTTATGAAGCAGGAAACGTAATAGTATATAATCTTTAAAACATTACATGGATCGTATTGCCCGCTAAATGGCTTTTTTGGAGAGGGAAGTGTAGCTATATTTCAGTGTCCTCAATTTAATCAAATGCTGAATTAGAGGGAGTTCAGAGAAGGGCAACAGGAATGATTAGGACCTGGAAAAACTCATGAAATGATATTGAAAATGTTGGGATTGCTTGCCTTAGAAAGGAGACAAATAAGGGGGGACACGATAAAAGTATATATAGTAATGGTAGATCAGGAGCTTCTCTCATCTTTGTCTTCTAACACAAAAATAAGGAGATGTTGAATGAAATTAAATAATGGCAAATTCAAAACTGATAAAATGAAACTTTTACACACAATGTATGATTGGACTGTGGAACTCATTGCCACAGGACATCATTAGAAGTTGTTAATGCCAAGAAATTAGCAAGATTAAAAGAAATTGGACATTTGTATGGTTAACAGCAAAATCCAGAGTTATAGTTAATACTAACAATTTTGAAAGGGATATTAAACCTCATGCTTCAGGGTTGACGTCAGTATCTAACTATAAAGGATTAGGAGAAGACTTGGTGTGGGAGGCAAATTATCCCACATCTTGCTGCAGGGTTCTTATACCTTCTTCTGGTGCTGATCACATGGGATACTGGACTACGCTGACTTCAGGTGTGATCTTGTATGACAGCTCCTATGTTCCTAGTTAAATACTCTTCAGAGATTGACACTGTTTCTCTATCTTGCACTGTCTGTCCAAAACTTGAAATGGTTACGCAGTTAGATTAACAGTAAAATTAGCTTATTAGCATGGTACTTGAGAACACACATCCTTTAAATAAGATTTTTTTCTGTCCATTGTCAGTCAATATTATGCAAGAGGTAGGAGCATTTACAATCTGCCTGAGTGTTTCTATGACCTTAGTATGAGTTTATGGAGTACTACTGAGACAGACAGATCAGACACAGCTGGTCATAAACTAAAGAAGAGGTTTATGTAGGCTATGCATTGTACCTTAAAAATCTTTCGGCCTAGAAACAGCTTTGTATACTTGTTGGTGGGTACGTGTTTAATAATAATAATTGGCCAAGACCCATAGGCCTGTGGATTTTTCCTTTTAACCATATCCTTGTTTTCATATTTTCAATAACAAAATAACCAGTTCTGTAAAGCCAACCATTTGTCCTAGCAGTGACACCTGAACTGGAATGTAAGGGAATATATATTGTACTTTTCTGAAAAGGGGTGAGTATGTGTGTGTGTTACAGAAGACCTAGGTAGAAACACTTATAGTTAAGGTTGTCCAACACTATCTGTTATAAGACCCTGTATTCAGTTGTTGTTACTTTGCCAGACTTTAACTATTTGGCCTGAAATTTTCCATGCTGGGTGTCTGCCTCAGGCTGAATTTGGGGGAGGGGGGAGGGTGGAGCTCAAGAATTTCAGCAAAAATTGTTCAGCTATTTCTCAGAACAAAGTTAGTGATAATACATTGATTTGCCCCTGTTTTTACCAAACAAAACAAAAGCAAACCACTTTTTCAGCTGTGTTGTTGAGAAGCTCTAGCACCACAGTTTCAAGCCAGGACTTCAAATTTGGAAAAGGAGTTGCCTTGGCTTCGGTGTGTGCCTTTTGCTGTCCTCATGAAATTCCACCCAAATTTGGCCGAGTTATGGAACTCTGAAAATCTGTTGTCACCTGCTCGGAACAGATTTGTTAGTTTGGCAACTAAATTCTTCAGATTCCAATTCTAGTGAGTATGCTCTAGGCCATAGTGGCAGAATCTGAGTAGGACTTTCCCTACAATTGTTCCTCCTGACTCCACACCAGGGCTTGATGTGCTGGACACAGGAACTAAGACCTGAGGTCCTGGGACATGGAGGTGAGGGGGAAATGGGTTGGGGTAAGAACAGGCTGGACGAGTCTGAGGCAGAAGGGGTCTGTTAAGCTTCGGGGTGGAAGAAAATAAGGGCTGAATGGTTTGAAAACCACTAGATAAACTCCCCTCAGAACCTGGAATAGAACTGAGGATTCCTGAATTTCAGCATTCCTATGCTGTCAGCAAACAGCTGTGAAACTCATTGTTAAAATGTTTGCCTCATCTCCCTTCAGTGACTGGAGCTCATAGAAGATCTAAAGGTTCCAGCCCAGCAGCTGACCCATGTGGGCGTATGTTTCCACATAATGCAAATTGTGTTTGTTTTTAGTTTTCACTGTGTGTTTTTAAAAATCTGGGAAATAACATACAAAAAATATATGCAAAGCATGTTATGGTTGCAAAGTCAAGTCAGGCCCCTTGTGCATTTATATTATGATAAGTCTTTAATTACATGATTAAATAGTTTTTTTTTTCCACTGAAAACTTGTTTAAAAATGCAACAAAAGAATCATAGCAATAGTCTGCTTTAAGAGACAGTTAACTAATACCTTTACATCTGGTGAATAAAATCATTCAAATAGCTTTGTGTCTGTCAAACATCACAAGCCTGTTTTGTAGCTGAACTTTTTGCATTGTTGTTTACAACTATAAAATATTTAAGTTGAGAAAAGTATGAAGGCTGTGTTTTATGTTTGTTTGTTTTTTTTCTTTTAGAGTTGATCTCTGTGAAGTTTTAGACTTGCATGCTTTTGATAGCTTATCTGGGATAAGGTACAGTATAACCTTATAATCTTTATTTCAGCAATTGATTACACAGGAAATCATAAGAAATGGTTGCACAAAATAGACACTGTCACTTTAAGGTTGCAACTGAGTTTCCATTATAAACCGAATTGTGGCCTCTTGTCTAAAAGTAAAGTACATTTTTTAAAAAACATTTGAAGTGAATTGAACAAGGAGATTTATATATTATATATTTATTTATATTTAGAGAACCTAAAAGTTGTTAATTACAGAGCCAAGTGTAATATCTTTTCGCCATTTTGTAGCAAAGAGCAAAATCCCACTTTACTGGGTGCCCAAGACACAAATTCCATGTAATTACAAAAGTTATTAACATTTCCTTTAATAACGTCACTAGGCAACGTCAGCTTTGGCATTCTTGGTGTATAGGCTGTCAACTGACTGCTGAAGACCTAAGTATTCATTTGAAGAAGAAAAACCTTCAGTCCCTTTTCTTACATTTTAAGCTGCCTCTCTCTGCAACTTGATCACTTGACAGTGGAAAACAGAGTTTTTTTCTATTAAAAAGCTTGTGAGGGTGGTCAAGAAACCCTCTCCGAGGTTCACTGGGGATTGAAGACCTGATAATGCCCACAGAAAAGTAGGTTAAGTGTCTCCCTTACCTCTTCCTTCAGTCAAGTTCTCATCCAGACCCCTCTTTGAGATTCTAAGTGAGTTGCAGAAGTAGCACCCAGAGAGTATTGAGTTAAGGTTGCTCTTCTCAAATAAGGCTCTCAAACAACCTTACTCTGCCCCCACATAATAATGCCTACAGAAAATCAGACTATATTACCTTATCTATCGATAAAATAAAGTTAAATTTTATCAGTGCTTGCTAGGTTGTCTTAATTAACTAGGTTGTCTGAATCATAATTAAAGCTAAGATTTTGTCATGGATATTTTTAGAAAAAGTCACAGACAGGTCACAAGCAATAAAGAAAAATTCAGGGAAGCCCATGATCTGTCCCTGACTTTTACTAAAAATATCCATAATAAAATGGGAAGGGACTGGGCAGCTGCGGGGTTGCTGTGGGTTCTGGGACCCCACCATCAGTGGGGTCTCAGAGCTCCAGGGTCCCCCCTGTCACCAGCAACGGAGGGAAGCTGCAGGGACCCCTTGCCCCCCCACAATGGCAGGGAGCTGCGGGAACCCCCCTGCAACTGCCGCAATGGGGAGCTGCAGGGATCCCCCTGCCACTGCGGGGCGGGCCGGGGGCTGCAGAGGTCCCCCCGTCTGGTGGTAGCCAGGGTCCCCCCAGCCCAGGGTCCCCCCCGTCTGGTGGTAGCCGGGGTACCCCTGCTCCCATAGCAGCTGAGAGCTTGGGGCCACTAGCTTAGGGGCTGCTACCTCAGGCGGCGGGGGTACCTCACAGCTCCCTCCTGCTGCGGGAGGCGGCGGGACCCTGCAGCTCCCAGTGGCCAGGTCTGAAGTCACAGAGATCTTTGGAAGTTACGCTGCATTACAGCTTTCTTTGTGGTGTTACATTATGTGCTTTACTGAAAAAAAATACAAATCTGTAATTAGACACATTAGAGCACTTGCACACACAGAACAAAAGTGTACAGTGACAAATTACCACACTTTATATTGAAGACATATGCGTGAAACTATAAAAGCAGTTTCTGTGATGTGCATTTTAGGTAAGCTACCTGCAAAGTAGGGTGATGGTAAACTGACATTTGTACAGAGACAGAGTTGATGTAGCATGGATTACTTTATCTGGGACGTTAGTTCTGAATTTCCTGAGTTTCTAATATTTGAAAGATTTATTTTTTTATTTTATTTTATTTTTACACTAGTGTTCTTGAAAAGTAAAATGTGTAGTCAAACTACTAATATAAGCCTGCACCTGAACTAAGGCTTTCTGTTAAAATCTTACTGTACTTCATTTTGAATATTTCTTCTTCAATTAAAATTGTGATATTTAACTCACAATTTTAACAAGCCATGCTATTTGGAAATGCATCTGAGTGATCAGCATGTGTTTTTATTTTCATACACTGAGTTGACAAGTAATACAGTTGTACCTCTTTCCCCTGCGATACAGTGTGGATGAAGACCAAAAAATGACACAAGGAAAGCAAAAGTGCGAGATGTGTAAAAATGTTTTATTTATTTAACATAGTTTTCTTATGCCTTTTTTGCCCCATTTAGCGCTTCTCCTTTAAATAATTTATAATAAAGTGAGAATAGACTTTACAGGTAAACTTAAATCTAAAGTGAGAGACTGTTGAGGGCTCTAAGCACGGTAAATTACTGTACAAACCTTTTCTCTGTTAGGTTAGAAATGAGTCTGAGCCACAAAAGTCCAATTCAAATTTTGAACCCCCCCAAAATTTGGGGTTATTCTGACCATCTCTCTCTTGGAGACCTAGGTTCAAATGTAGAGCCTTAGGCCATCCTAAACTCTTATGTTGTGGCCTCACGTTAGTCCTTATTGGATTATCCTGCACCACAAAACATACAATTTGATGATTTGGGTTTGAGAGGACTAGGACTGAACTAACAGGGGTGTCTCATGTTAGGGATTAATTTCATTAGCAGAGCTGGAAGGAAGCTGGCACATAGTATATCTTGTTTTAGTAAATGCTACAGGTCCTTTCTCCTGCCCTGCTCCCTAATAACTTTAAAAACATGATTTAAAGTAGGGAAAGGAAGGACTACATTGATTTTTTGCCTTGTGTTCTTAGTAATACTGTTGGGATGACTCAGTTTGCCCTTCGTTTTGACACAAAAGTTGGCTGAGAGTTGATTTGTTGCATTTTTAGAGTATTAAAGTGAATACTTATTTCAAAACCTTTATTATTATTATTTGCAACAGCTGTATTTTTGCCAGCTGTCTGTGCATATGTTATAACTAAGATATATAAACTCTCCATGTATTTTGCCATTTGAGCATAGATTTAACTTGTATAATAGTTTAATGCTTTGATTTATTTTAAGAATGAGTCCCTTTTTTAGCCTTCGTCCCTTTTGTTTTTGTTTACAGTAGCAAATGTCACTCAAGTAATCAAAAGGTCCTTTCCATTTACTGTGTTTGGTTTATGGAAATGACATTATAGCTATGAAACGACGTTTGGCAGTGATTAAACAAACAAGTAAAATTAAATTATTGGTATTTAGATGTATTGTATAGTTGCAAAACAGAGAAAATCCTTCAAAGATTAACCAGCTGTGAAGGATTAAACTTGACACCCTCCTTATCATGACTCCTGGGGTGACTAATTCACTCCAACAGCTTGTCTACACACAAACTTTCCCCCTCCCCTCTTTTTAAACCCACTCTTACCTATTTACCCCTCGCTGTTCTTAAAACCTTGCAGATGTTTTGTTTTGAAGTCCTTGGCCTCCCTGTAGTTGAATATATGCTACAATTGTTGAAGACATAATCTGCTGGAAAATGTTTATCTGTGTGCTGTCTCACAGAATAACAGAGCAGTGCCTTTTACAATTTCCGTCCACCCCTTGCATCTGATCAAATGTGAAGCATTCTGAAAGTGTAGGTAGATAGAAATATATAGGCAATATTTTTCTTAAAATAAGATTTAGGAAAGCCAAGATTTATAAAGCAGGCACTTGATGGAGGAAGTATTTTTTGCCTATTAAAAATTCTGTATATATCATCAAATCATTGTTTACATGATCTGTATTAGTGATCACTGATCCAATTCTCAGTCAGAATGGTGATGACAAGACTTACTTTTTTTTTTCTGGCTTTTTCTATGCCATATCTCCAAAAATTGTCTCTTTCATTCAGTTGCTGCTGCTCCAGCATGCTTGACCATACTCTGGCCATTTTTGGCATAGATTACTGCTACCTTTTCTTCTCTGGTCTTCCTGATTCTCACATGACTCTCATCACATCTGTTCAGTGTGCTGGAATTAAAGTAATTTCCATGCCTGCTGCTGTGTATTACAAAATGTGTGTATGGGTTTATGTATATGTATAGGTGATCAGAACACACTTTGAGACAAGTTTTATAGGTGCACATTACTTAGAATTACATATGTATCTCAAAGTAAACTAAGTACGAAAATATTTTAAATATACTAATTTTTACTATTTTGTCCTTCTTGTTCATGTAAAATTCAATCTGTACCTAGATAATGCTTCATTTATGTTTATATATATTCTTTGTAGTCCTTTTGATACTTTCAGTAACACAAAGTAGCTAAGTATTTGCGTCTCATACAATGCAAGGTTCACATTTACTTCTCTTCAGTTTGCAGAAAAAGCTGCAGCATGTGCAGACGACACACCCACACCTAGATAAGGTAACTACTAAACCTGCTGATAACAAAATCCATCTGGGTAATTGCTGCATGTTAGGCATTGCATGCTAATCATGTGATCTATAGTGGGCATTAACTAAATGATAATGTATTAAGGAATAATTTGAATACATGCATTGTTCTATATGGATGTGCTTTATTCTGTTGAACTAAACATATACAGTGGGCCGTATTTTCAAAAGTGGTGTGCAAACAATCATGTAAATAACTTTACCCACATGAATGAATTTAGCCACTGAATGCATCCAATGAAGAGAGCTGTAGCTCACAAAAGCTTATGCTCAAATAAATTGGTTAGTCTCTAAGGTGCCACAAGTCCTCCTTTTCTTTTTACCCGCATGAGTAGCCTCATTGAAATTAATTAAAAGTATTCATGTACAGGACTGGGCCCTAGATTTGTAGTCATTATTTTTCACATGCATATTTTGTGCACCCAGACAGTATTTGCGTGTATAAATTGGGTAGTTGGGCACCAACTTATGCATGTATACATTTAGAATCTTGGTTAAAGCCAACGGACATATTAGCCCAATATGTGTAAATTTTCTTACATAGATGCTTGTAATTTGTTTTACAAAGAAAAACTGTATAATTGTGGGTTTATAACTCTCTGGACTAGAATCTGCCGTACTTAGGCCTTGATCCTGCCAACACTTAAGTACATGCTTATTTAACTATTGTGAGCAGTTCCATTGAAGTTAATAGGATTGCTCATGGTAGTAAAGCTAAGCATGTGCTTAATGGACTATTCACATTACTAAAATTAAGCACATACAGAGTTTGTAGGATAAAGGCTTTACTTTTTAGGGTGTATGTCAGGGCAGAATTTGACCCTCTGTCTAGTACAGAGTTAGAATTGTCATTGTTGCATTTTTAACAATAGGAAGTGGTTCATTATTACCTCTTAGATTTTTCTTTTACTTGATTAATGGAAAATGTAATGTTTTCTTCCTTAAACATTCCTAAACTAAAAATCAAATTGGAGGGAGTGGGGGAGAAGCCCAGTTTATCACTGCTACAGAAATAGACCTATGTTCAATGTTGTTTGTATTGCTTGTTAAGCACTGACAATGTGCTTGGTGCTATACAGGGCAAAAATAGCTTTCAGTGTGAGAAAGACAGGGATAAGACAATGGAAGTCACAGAGAAGAGTGAAAGCAGAGAATTTTTTGTTTGTTTGGTACATGGACATGTCCCCCAGAGACTCTTGTGGATATCATGGAGTCATGCACGTAAGATCATATAAAATATAACTGGGTACCCCACCAGTATGAGTAACCAGGGTTACAAAATATGCAGTGGATTACAAAACTCAATTTACTTGAAACCCAGGGAACAAAATCACATTATGTGTAGTAAGGATATAATTATTCAAAAATATTGACTCTGGTGTCCTCTGGTTTAGTGAGGCACAAAATATTTTTCTGACAGGGTTAAGGACATTGACACTTTTATATAAATGTCTTGCATTTTTTTTGGATTAGTTCATAAACGTATTCCAAAATTTATGCTCTGATATTAAATAGATTTTTGCTTTAATATTCACCTTTGGACCATTTTTATCTGTCTCTTGTAAGATGCTGCTGGCCACATAGGGATCGCTGTATTTAAAATGTTCTTTTATTTAAATAATGAGTAGATTTGTTTCTATGTGAGAGCATTGTAATTGTGGCATCTTCTTTTTATGTTTGGAACTTACAAGACCCTTGTTGCCTTAGTCTAAATTGCTCTTTTCATTTAAAGAGCACTCATTTAGTTTTGCTGCTTAAAACGGGGAGAGTGGGACTCCCTCCTTATGTAGTTTGAAACTTTATTTAGAACCCAGACATGCAATGTAAATGAACAATGAAAGCACTGGTGAGGGTGGTGGGGGAGAAGGTAAATACATTGTGGAGGAAGGTGTGATTTTAACATATGAATGCTTCGTTAGACACTGAACGAGAATGCTTTGTCAAATTTGTCTTCACTGAGCAATTCAAAACTATCCAGGATTTTTTTAAAGTAACCTTCAAATAAAAACAAAAGACCCTGAAACAATATAATCAGTAATATGGGCGACAGCCAAATTTTAAAGGGACACTGTCAAGTTAATTGAATTATAAAAATACTTGCTTTGTGCTCGGTAGCGTATGTCAGGGAATGAGGGAAGGCTCACATAAATGAACTCCATGCCACCTCCCTCACCTGGGGCCCCACAATTCCAGCAGGTGGAGAGGGAAAGGCCCAGCTTGGACTTAACACAGACGGAGCTATGTTCCGTGAAACCAGGGAAGGTGGTCAGATCAGGACTTTCTCTGGTGAACTTTAGCATTTCCCCAGAAGTTCTGAAAATTAGAGTTGTGGCATGATGTAGGGGAGGCATAAGGGCAATTGCTGTGTGAAATGGAGGCAGAACCAAAGAGGTTATATCACATAGTTGAAGTAGCTGATGGGTGCACTGTTCCATTGGCTGTTGTTAAAACACTATGATGAACTAGAGGAATAGTTGTTTTTGCAAGTTTTGCACTTAAACCAAAAGTGCTTGTTGTGAATGTTAGAGTGTGTGTGTGTGTGTGAGAGAGAGAGAGAGAGAGGTTTTGTGGACTGTTGTGGTTCTGCAAAAAGGTTAAACTGGGCCTAAATTTTGAAAAGGGAAATCAGCAAAGTTAGTCATGTTTTGACAAAACAGCATTATAGAAATCCCAGTGGTCTTAAACCTGGAAACTAAACTCAAAATATTAAAATGAGAAATAATGGGACTTTAACTCAGTGGTTCCCAAAGTGGGGTCCACCAGGGGTTATGTGGGGGGTCCGTCCCTTGTACCTGGGCCAGAACTCACTGGAACAGCATTCCAGCACTTTTGCTGCATGGAGGATGCCATTGTGAGAACAAAATGCCATTCTCCACACACCGTGATGTCATATGCACAATGTATGCGAGGTCATGCTGGCAGAGGCATTCCGTTAGTACCAATACTTGCATATTCAGGACTAAACCCCCCTGTTAGCATTTAGAAACACTTTTCTTGCCATTCATTTCAAGACTCAGAAACCTCGGAAAGTAATAGCCCCATTTAGGGGAAACAGAAATACAGATAAAGTTACATGTATAGGTTTTCGGGGAATCCTGACACCACTAAACTAGACTCGGTGTATTTGTCTATATGTGTATTTTCAGAGGCTTCAAACAGCTCCATAGCTAAGCTTACTGAAACTGTTAGTTAAAATGAAAATAACTGTTTTGTGACAAAAATGGACCAGTGGTTAAAAAGCGGAACCAATAAGAAGAAAAAATATATCTACTATTGAACGAACATGAAATCAACGAGGATCAAAGTGACAACAAAAGTGTAGCTAGTAATAAGGAAATATTATTGACACGTCACTGGTGTGAAATATGAAAATATGGAAGGTGACAAACTTTATGCAAGAATAAAGAAGAAGAGGAACTATGATGAACTTCACATAAATTTGGCTTTACCTGTGTCATACAAGAAGATATACAGTTGCCAAACTGTGTTTTGTGTTACAAAATGCTTTCTAATTAGTGTTTAAAACCAGCCAAACTCTGCTGACATTTACCTACAAAATGTGTTCTGTACATAGATTAGCCTGTAGAATTTTTCAAACAAAAATTAAACGACTTATAGGCTGGAAAACAGCATGTTATTAACACAAACCATGTCAATCATAAAGCTCTCGAGGTTTTGTATAAAGTTAGCTATAGAATTGCTAACGTTGGAAAACCACACACAATTGCTGAAGAACTGATTCTTCCAGCAGTGAATAAACGTAATACTAGGAGAGAAGCAAGGAAAGCAATTAGAAATTATTGAACAATACACTATCTAGCAGACTACGTGACATGAGTGATGATGTGGAAAAACTGGTGTCTCGCTTGCAGTTGAGTCTGTATATTGCCTTGCAAATCAACAGATGTTGCTGATCTTCTTGCATATGTTTGGTATATTTTTGATGAGGTGTCATCCTTTGCCCACATGCACAACAGCAGAAGATATTTTTTTAATAACTTTTTTTTTTTTTTTTTTTACGAAAGCATTGTGTTGGTCTGTTTACTGATGAAGCTCAAGCAATGATGGGTGTAAATTGAGTGGAATTGTCGCTCGAGTATGTCAAGTGCCACCAAAAATGCAGTGGTACCGTTCTAGCATATGTTGTGAAACATTGGGGGCAAAAAAATCAGCAGAATTAAAGGCAGTGTTAAATGATGTTAAAACCATGAATTTTTAAAAATTGCATCCTGTGAATTTGTGCATATTTAACACTCTGCAGTAACCTGGGAAGTGAACACTTTTCATTACTTCTACAAACACAAGTCCATTGGTTCTCCCCCGAGGGAAGGTATTGGCCTGTTTGTTCAGAGACGTCGTTTTCCATGGAGTATCCTTTTGAATTTTCAGACAGCCAAATTGCACCTTTTAGACAATCACAGCTGGCATACTTGAAGGACGTATTTTCTCAGTTAAATTAACTGAATTTAGATCTCCAGGGAAGGAATATCAATTACCATGTATGATGATCAAGACTAAGGAGAAGCAATGATGATAAAGATTCAGTTGTGGTGTCGTGTGACAAATGACAATTTTGATTGTCTTTATCAGATTTATTTTAGATGAAAATGCAAAATATAACATTTTTCGGCATTTGAGTAAACCTCAAGGACAATTTCCAAGAATATTTTCCTGTGAAGAATGATGCCAACAATTGGATTCAACACCTCTTTGCTAGAAAAGCAAAACCATCAAAGGATTTGAATATTGAAGACAGGAGGAACTAATGGAATTGTTCTGTGATGGAGATTTGAAGATGGACTTTACAAAGCATTCATTGATCCAGTTTTGGCTGTAACAGAAATCAAAGTATCCAAGGCTGTCAAGCCAGAGCTGTGGTGTTTTGTTTTGTTTTTAATCCCATTCGCCGCTACCTATTTGCATGAAAGTGGTTTCTCGGCACTCATCTCATTAAAATCAAGATATAGATACAAACTGGATACAATGCAAGAGCTTTAGGCTGAAACTTTCAAATATTGTGCAAAATATATCAAAATTGTGTTCACAAAGGCAGGCCCACTCATCACACTGAGTAAGACCATATGTTTCTTTTATTTCAGTTTTAAATTTAAATGTTTTAACAAAACTACTATAGTTATATTTTATATCAATACCTATGATTTCTTTTGTCATAACATATTTGATTATTGACTGTATTTTCCATAATGTTCTATGATACCTACCTATACTTTGATAACACAGTTTAATGGTTGTTATAATAAATAAATAAATAACTTGTTATAATTGCAGACTGTTTACTTTTGGTTCCTCTGTGAGTCTTATTTTAATAACAAAATAAGTAATACAATAACTGCAACATGAAACTACATATAAAAATGAAAGGGGCCTGGGAAATTTAGTCAGATGCCAAAGGGCTCCGTTGCAGAAAAAAGTTTGGGAACCACTGCTTTAGCTCAAATCTCAGTGTGACCGTGATTATTGGAGTTGCTATCAACGCATCCATAATTAAAATTCTTTGGCAGAGAGTGATTGATAATTAATGCTTAAACTTAAGTTACATTATGCTTAGATTTGATTTTTGTGGCCAGTGCCTAAGAGTTCAGAATTTCTCTCATAATTCAGATTCATGTTCACACTAATCCTATGTGTTAAGTCTTTCTTAAAATACAATAGCATAAACACTTAAATGAATACCTAGTGGGAAAAGAGGTACTAAGTATAATACTACGTGAATTTTATGTGGGAGGTAGCAACTTGATATCATTAAGGAAATGATTATTGTTTATGTAGTGTGGTACTGTTTAACCAGCAGCCCATTTCCACTACGAAACAGTATGAGTTCATTGTTGTTATCCCTATTTAGTTTAACACTCAACAGTTTATAAAAAAAACATTGAGATGTGCGAGGTGTAAATGAGAGCAGGGAGTTTTCTCACAGTTGGCTACAAGCTCTTCTGAAGGATAAAGGGTGCTTATTGACTTCATGTGGAGAGTCGATAGAAGTATAGCTTCAATATGTGTGAAGCATAATAGACGTGACTCGGTACCTCTTTTGAAGTTACCTGTGAACAAAATGTTAGTACTTGTTTGGGGTGTGGGTTGGTTTATTTTGTGAATTATTCTGTCATTGAGTAAACTAATAGAATTGCTGCTTTAGTCATATTTTATTTTTTTTCCAAATTTTATAACCACTTGGAGAGACAAGGTAGGTGAGATAATATGTTTTATGGGACCAACTTCTGTTGGTGAGAGAGACAAGCTTTCAAGTAAGCTCTGTGTAAGCTTGAAAGTGTCTCTCTCCAACAGAAGTTGGTCCAATACAAGATATCACCTCACCTACCTTCTCTCACCCCACTGAGATGGTAATTTTGTATGTTGAGCTTTAAATAAAACATAGTTCTTAATGGATTTTGAAATAATTAATTCCAGCAGTTCTGAACAGGACATTGGCACATTGATTTTTTTTTTCTTGTCTATGATCAGGCTGTAAGTAGTAATCCGTCGTTCACTTTTGGGTAAAATACAACATTTTATTTTTTTTTATTTAGAGATCTATTTATAAATCTTTATTTTTTCATAGCATAAAAAGTGTACAGCAATGACAGGATGAAGTCTGGTGCATTAAAAGAGAACCCCCTTATTGTGACACACGTGTATCAGCGCAGTGAAACTGTGCTGGTGAATGGGAACAACCATGAAGATACAAAAAAAAAATAGCTAAGGGAAGTAACTTTATTAAACACGTTTGAAAGATATCAGTATTAACAGCCTAGTCATATTAACAATTGTTTAAAAGGACGAAATATCAGTTAGTTCAGAGTTCTACAGTATGAAATGTTATGGCATCAAAATACCCAAAAGTATTGACTGTAGGGAATCATATATTCCTTAAACTGACATTATAAAAAACAGCTGAAATGACCAGAGTAATAGACTATATTAGAGCAGAACCAGTAGCGCGGATATTTTTTCCTTTGGGGGTTTTTGTTACAATTCCTAATTTATACTGTTAAGTGTACAAACATTTTGTTTTAAATAAGGTATTGAACTGTTAAGTTTATTCATCTCTAATTTAGAATAACTGAATATTAATGCTTAGATCTTTCTACTTGCAGAGTATTGTCACAGTTACGTTTGAAATGTTAGGAAACACAACTGAAGAAAATCTCAATGAATTTATTCAGGTGAGTGCTGCATAACTGTTACCTGAAAACTGTGTACTACACCACTTGAGAAAATTATCACTTGTGTAAAGCTTCAGTTTTTAAAAACATATTCCTATTTGTAGAATCTTCTGTGGGAGAGGAGTGTGAAAGACAAGGCTGGTCATCCCATGGAGGTCATAAGACTCAAGGTTCAGCTTTTAAATTTATCTAACTTTTTATAACAACTTCTATTTTTTAACTCCCTTACTCCTGTTAAGGATAAAACAGTCCAGCCATATCCTTGAATGTTCATAGTTGCCCCATCCCTGGATCACTTCATTTGAGCTAGGGGAAAGGAGGTAATAACTTCCTTTTCAGGATGCAGTTCTCTCCCACCGCTTCATTCCTCCCACATGGCTAGCAAGCTCTGCTGGCCAGCACACGGGGGAAGAAGACCCATACATCGTTCCCTTTACTCTCAGCCCACTTGCTCTAGATTTAGTGGGAGGAAGCACAGTTCCTGTACTCCCCCAAGCACCAAGGCTAGAATTATGGTCAGCTCGCTGTGCAAGGGTGGAAGAATCCTTATTCCCCTGTATTGCTACTGTAGGGCTAGTCACAAGCTATTCCATAATGGTCAGTTGTGTTAATGTTGAGTTTTCTTTGCAGAAGCCCTGGTTGCCAGCTCTTGAATGTTATATAGTCCTTGAAATCTTCCTTCTGTGTGTTGTCATTCCTCTGAAAGATCCCATCCCATCACACCCAAAATGGTCACTTCACTTGGAAAATATACCTAGGGTTGTAATTATACTTCTTGACATAACTTGCAGAAATTGAAATGCACCATAAAATTTGGGAAGGGGAGTTGAGGGGAAACATGTCAAAGTCAACACTTAACATTCTCTACAAACCTGAGAACCTGAGGAGATGATATTTTTAAAGAAGCAATCAATGGATATGCAAACATTAAGTGAAATTTCTCAGGAAAATATTGTCCTGTATTTGCAAGGAGTTTATAAATAGCTTCTATTTCAGTGTATGTTACCTACTCCCCCAAAAACAAACAGCTGGTTAAAAAGGTCATAACAGAAAATATGCACATTCAAAACTCTGTCAATGCTTTAATAGCGTACAGTAAAGAGAAAAAATATGTTCAGGTTTATTTTCTTATTGCTTAATGAGAACAGCATTTGTAATGGTGAACAGTTGAGTGACAAAATAATTATTTTTACTTGAACTTTCAGTATTGGTTATATATTTGTCTGGTCCTACTACAAGAAAATCAGGACACTTGTTTGTCTTCAGTCCTCCTCCTCCCTAAAATCTAAAAACCCACTGATACTACTTAGAAAATACAGTCTGCGAGGAAATAATGTTGCTATGTATCAATATATGTTCTGCATTTTCCCCACATTTTACTATACTGAGCACTTGAATCAAAGCAAAATGTATAAGGAAGGCCTCTGTCCTGCAAGTGTCTGTGCACTAAGCCTCATTGAAATAAATGGGCCTCCATGCAGATGTGTCCAAGTCAGTTGTAGTATGGGTGCCACAGTTTATCTTTTTGCTTATGTCCCACCAGAAGTTATAGTCCTGTTTGACACTACAGTCATCTTAACACCAGTTAATTTGTCAAACAGAGGATTAGGACTTCAGGATTTCAGATGAGGAATAAGTAGAAAGGAACTGACTGACAAGATCCTACTTTAATGCAAATGACCGTGTGTGTGTGTGTGTGTATAAATAAAAAATAAAACTAAAACCTCTTCCATCCTCCTGAAAAGATACAGTATATAAGATAATCAGAGATGTGTGTAACTAGAAAGTTTTGCAAGGTTTTCTATGAAGTGTTAATGGATCTTTCCAATGGGAGTTTTTGGCACTCGTTTGTGGTCTCATTGTGTTGGCTCTAATCACTTCATTATGTTGCTGAGCCTTTTTAAAATATTGACAGTCATACACATTCATATATCTTTGTTTTAGAATAGTAAAAAAACTGAGGGTGTCAACAACTTGATCATAATTATCCATAACCAAGAAACTCTGTGTTGTACTGTCTACCTACTGTGATAGGAAACGGTGTGCTGTTCTCAGTCACACATACATTATATTAACTAAACTGGCTTTTTAAACAATTGAAATACATAGGCTAAAAATGAAAATTTAAAAATCCTGGCAACTTTCCAGTTGAATCAGAAAACATATATTGCACTAGCTAGACAATGTAATATAATCTGACCAGCATTACCCTTATCTGGTCTTCCTCCTCCTATTTGTTAAGTCTGCGGGTTGTGTTGTCTTATATTCAAATTATTGTATTCTCTTTGTACAGTGCCTAGCACAATGTGGTTCCTATTCAGATTGCAGCCTCTAGGCTCTATTGTGATAATAACAATAACTGTCGTCCTGATCAGGGGTTGGTGTCTATTAAAGACAAATCTCACCAGGTGATTGTCCAAGGTGTCCATGAACTGTATGATCTAGAAGAGACCATGGTAATCTGGAAAGAGGATGATGAAAGAACAAACAGATTGGTTCTAATAGGTAAGAGGAAACCACACATTTCTTAGTTTTGCCTGTTGTGAGAAACAGTTGACCAAAGTCAGACTACAATTCTTCAACGGGTAAAACAAAGTAAATAAAATACAATTGTCCATAAATTGTATGCATATATGAAGTGTGTGTAATTAAAATATGTGTATGTATGTTTTATATATTATATATGTAGGATTAGGAGAATTCAATTTTTATCATTTTGATGAATATTAGTAGTTTATTTTTAAGCATTTTTAATAATTTACATTTTCCTTGTGGCACAAAATTATGGGTTTTAAGCCTTTTTCAGTTTTTATCAATTTTAAATTTTCACAATTGTGGGACATTATGGGGACAAGGGGGTCAGACAGTATTTAATGACAGTAGAAGACACTGATATTCAGAAAGTTAACACTTCATAGCAGTTAAAATGGAAATTATCAACATCACCTGTCAAAATATACCCAAGTAAATATCCTTAAATCAAACTCTTAAATTCTCAAGTGGCACTCTTTTTTTTCTTTGCCTGTCTGTAAATTGTGATTATTGATGGAAATATTTTGTTGGTTTGTGTGTACAGTGACATCGACGTATACTGACCATTTATCGATTTAAAAAATTGAATACTTCCAAGTCTATATGTAACTTTAAAAAAAATCTAGGATTAAAAACAAGCTTGTGGGAATGATTATAATCAAAGATTTGATAACTCTCCATAAGGAAAAAATTTTATTACCTTTTAGGTGTATGTAATCTTAAAGGCTGATCTCATGTTTTCTTTCAGAAATGTTCATAATTAATGTTGAAACCACACACCTCTTAAGATTTTTGGTTGTTTTTTTTATCTAAACTCCAGTTTGACTCTGAAGTTTTAATGAAGATTAATCCAGCATTTCTTCCCCATTTCTCTTATTTTATACCTTATTGTAGCCTGTTTGGAAATCTATAGCTTAAAGTTGCAACTTAAGATCATTATAATAAGCCTGTGTTTTTAACTCATTAGTATGTAACAGGTGTTTGTATACTTGTTTTTCATTGATGTATGGATTATTTTGTGATATGCTGGAAAATATGAATTTTTGTCTGTTTACAGGCAGGAACTTGGATAAGGATATCCTTAAACAAGTATTTATAGCTACCATGACAGAGAAACAGGAAAACAGTTGACATCACACCACAAAGAAGAAGAAAAATCTGTCCTTAACACTGCAGACTTTTATAATAATGGATGACATGCAGTACAGAAGCTTCAGTTTGCTCTTGCAATTTATAGAACTGTTAAACTCTGAATTTGACATTACTCCTGTTATGAATTCAAAATCATCTGTTTAAATATTTGCATTTATGTTATAGAATAAAATAGAGTAAATTAGTGTTTCTAAAATTTTGGCATGTGTTTAAATGATGCAATAGTAATATCATATGTATTCACAGAAATAATTAAGGATAAGGTTTTTTTTTTATGTTTGTGTGTGGGTCATGTAGTATTATGAATGACTATATCTGGTGCACATCCACAATAGAGAATTTTAGAGCTTCCCAAAACAATTCTGAGGCTAAAGCTCCCATCCTGTTGATTGGATGCTGTTGATTGTTGTCCTGGATGCTGGTGGCTCACTGAAGCTGAAGAGTCAGGACTAAGCAGAATCTTGTTTTTATGCATAGCACCAGCCTTTTCAGGTTTTTTAGGTGTGATCTTCCCCCATCTCCTACCTCCACAGCAAGGAGCTGCAGCCTGTGCTCCTGCTCTGTTCTCCCCTAACCTTGCTTGTTTTTAGATCTCTGCTATTGGGACTCTCCTCATCCCTTGACTCTGTCTCTTTAGAGCAACCAAGCTAGTGTCAACCAGCTAGCCCACCCTGTATGCCGTCTGTCTCAGCAGGCTGCCCACATATCTCCTTATGCGCCCTTTCCTCCACAGCAATGGTGGCACAGAAGGCACTTTTCAGCAGGTACCACCAGAGTAAGTAAAGTGGCTTGTGCAGCCTGATCTAAGCCACTTGCAGTTATTTCCATATTCCTCCACCCCTCTTGGATCCTCATTTTCTGGGGTGATTGTACTTGGCTCCTCTGGTCTGCGATTTTGCCGGCCTGCCATCAGCTGGTCTGAGGTTGCTAGCTAAGGCCTTCTCCAATTCTTAGCATAAGGTAGGGAAAAGTAGCTCTATTCTGTGTCTCCCTTTCTCAGCCCCTGACTGTCAGTCCCCTGCACCCTTCTACTTTTGCCCATATGACCTTGGCAAAAGCAGCTAGTGATAGCCCCTCTTTACTCTTATTTCCAAGTAAGGCAACAAGGTGCCACTGTATTTAAATGAGATATTTATTCACAGACTGTTTGGTGTCCTTTCCACGTATCCAGCTTTATGGATCCACTTCACTCCTGCCTCTCCTCCTATTATGCGGAAACAAAAAGGAAAGGGATTGCAAAAGTTAGGGCCCCAATTGGCTAGATGTACTGCACTACCTCTATTTTTGGGAATGTGTTTTATGTCATTAACATTCACTTTATGTGCCTGCTCTTGCAACTTTCAGCGTAAATTGGGATCAAACTGAGGTTTAAGCATCTGGATCTCTATTTTGGGGAGGATGGAGGCACAAGAAGAAAATGTACATATCCAAGATGAATGTTATTACTGCTCAAAGAATCCTGGCTGAGGTTTTCTAAACCTCCTTGGGAATTTAGACATGCATCTTGCATTCATTTTAATTCTTTAACTGTGCAACCTTAACTTCTCATAATGTAGGGTGGATTAGGTTGATATTTTTTTCATTCAGTATAGTGTAGTTCAAAAGAAGATTGTTATAGACTGACTTCCTGTTTAACCTACACACCTTATTCTGGGCTAATTTAGCAGGGCTTCTCCTGCACTGATTGAAGTCCACTGGTGTTTTCCTTGAGAGGGTAAGGATCAGGACCACAAATATTACTGAAACAATGTTGTTTTCTATTTCAGGTGAAGATCCATGATATTTTCTCTCCACTTCATTTAAAGTGTTTGTGACATAATCCTCTGATATATGGAGTAGCCATAATGCTATGCTAGTACAGTATAATGTGAAGATATTTAGCAGAGGGTATCAGGAAGAGATGACTTGTTAGCCCTGTAGTTATAAACAAGGGGAAGAGTTTAAATATTAGTCCCCATCCAAGAAGAGTTGGGGGGCAGGGGAACAGTTTGATTTTGGGAAGGATCCCGTAATATCAAGGAACAGCTAATCACCAGTGGTCTCCCCCTGAAGCTTACCCCAGATTCCAGCCGGAGTCAAAGCGAATTATGCGGGTAAGAAAGAAATGCAGGATTGCCAGCCAGAACACACCCCAGTGATCACACATCTTTCCTTAGGGGGGAAAAAAATAGTTAACTTTTTTCTAGCCCAAAGCTGGCACAGTTCAGCACCTCTATAGATAAAAGTTCCAGGGCTGGTGATCAAAACAGAATCTCCTATCTTGATAGGGGAAATTTCATTTTGCCAGGATTTGCTTAACATAATTGTTCACCTTGAAAAAATCATTCGGTGGGTAAAGAAAAATCGATTTTGCATTCTTGTCCCCTCTTCCAAAAACAACTCTGGAAGATGCAGAAGACCTACTTGAGTTTAACTTTGATGATGTGTTATACCAATAAAATAAAAACCAGCAGGATCTTATTAAAGGGGAAAAGGCAAAATGCCACATTTACTGTGAATATAGAAAGAATCATAGTAAGCAGTTAGTTATAGCTATAACACTCCATTCAATTTCATATTTATTCACACATTCATTCACACACACACACAGAGAGAGAGAGAGAGAGAGACAGGTTCTGTAAGGTTGTTATCATAGTTACCAGACTGAGAGTTGCTCATGCCAAGCCACTGGCCAGGCGGCCTGGACATGAGGAGGGAGCAGGGCCTTGTCAGATGCTCATCTGATGCTCCTGGAAGTTGGTTTGCAGAATCAGACCCCAAAGTTCTCACTTTCTAGAGTCCATTTTTATAGGAATTTCTTCTTATGCCAATCTATGGGAATTGCTTCATCATGCTGTTGCTGAATCAATCAGCAGATGGCACATTCCTGATGGCTCTGTGCTGCCAGATGTTATCTTGTTCTTTGGTTCTCCCATTCTTGAGGCTGTTGGGTGGATTCCAGTCTGCCCTCCGGGGGTCCTCTAGTTATTTCCACTTGACGCCTTCTTCAGCGGATGGACGCTGGATTCTTAGGCTGGCACCTCCCTGATCGTTCAGTTATTATCCACACCAAGCATCCATCCACATACATCCTCTATCTCTATTTTAATCACAATTGTTAACAAAGCAAGATGAATACAACAAAAGGGCGGGGAGTCTCTAGGTGCTGTTTCTGTTGTTACAAAGTATTGCTTTGAGTCTCTCTCTGTGAGTAGCTGTTACAAAGAACTGCTTTGAGAACAGACTGTCTCAGAATGTACTATCACAATTAGCAGCTTGCAAGTTGCACACAAAAAAAGGGAGCGAAACCATACCAAAAACCAAGAGACCTCTTAATTAGTAATACCGTGGAATTTAAACTATGGAGACTCAAACTCATTTGAGATTTTAATACAGAACTTCTTTAATATGATCCAACAGATGATCTGGTCAGGAAACGTTCAGGTTTTGGAGCTAAAACTCTGAGTTGAGTTTGGCCTGTAGGTTGGCGAGGCAGAGCCTGTAACTGTTCAGTGAGAACAAATTTGCACTGCAGCCCTTAGAATCAATTCGTGCCCAGGTCCCAACTGCAGCGAATGTTCTCATCCCCTAGACCCTCTGCATGGATTAGCAGCATCCCCAGTTCATTGGGACGCTCTCGGAGGGTCCAATTCATATGAAGAAGATCCCGGAAGAGGCGTGGTTAATTATACCCGCCAGAGGGAAAGCAGGGCGCAGCCTGCTCTTATAGCCTACATCATTTGTTTGCTACATCATAAAAAGATATGGGCGAAACTGTTTAAAGCTAGAAAAACCCAGGCTGAAGTGGCCGCTTCCACCCCTCTGCTTCGCTGCTAAGCGATGCTACTTTCCACCTCTGTCATTGATTTAACAGCTCCTTAGCTTTATATCTGTGGGGGTTACTTTTTTTTGCGAAGTGAGGGGAAGACTGGGGAGACCTACCCTTTCGGCTAGAATTACAGCTTTGTTTTCTGAACTGCCTGGCTGAAAAACAAAACAGATGACATTGTATTAGTGGAGGCCGGGCAACACCCCCAGCGTGGTGGTGTAAAGATCCGAGCCAGCCATCTAAACGTAACCAGACCGTTCGTTGTATGCAGAAAGAGGAAACCTACACGGCTGCTTTTCTTAAGAAAAACCGGTTTGATTTAACCTCTCTCCCTTTAAAATTAGTACCGATATAACAGCAATTACGCAGTGATGTACATTTCCTTTATAACGATCGAATGAACAAGTGGAAATTTCTCCCCCATAGTGTTTACATTTAGTAGAAGTAATGTTATTGGGCGTGCTAACATCAAGACAAAGCTCTGGCATGCCGCACCAGACTCATAGTAAACTCATTCTATTGTTCCTCCTCACGTCTGTATTTTCTCAGAAGCGAAATTGCTCCGTTCATCTTTATAAATCATTTAGCCTGGATGAATTTATTTTCATTTTGTACTTTGAATATTTTCCAGAGTTGTCTTTGTATATTACGGACATTGCTTCGGGTACAATGACAAAGCACTAAGGTTCTTGCAAACACGGGCACAGAGATGAAGCCGTGTATGGGTAAATAAAATGTAGCCGCTATTAAGGAAGAGAGCAAACACTTGAATGGATATCCTGTAACGGACTAGACGGTGTGTGTTCATGGAAATGCTGGCAAGGAGAAAGCTTTGATATGCAGGCTGGCTTCTGTGACCCCAAGTAAACTTCAGTTTGCCCAGGGTTTTCCTGCTAGGTGAGAAGAGGGTGAAAATGTCCTTATTCTGACTTCTCGATCTCAAAAACTAGGATCAGTATGCACCAGGCTTCAGAGCGGAAGACAAATCCACAGAAGGAGAATTGTACAGTTCTTACGGATTTTTCTTCTCTAATCCCACTGCCGCTGTGCCATTTCCTTCTGTTTTCATGTGCAGAGCTGGGAGGTAAATAGTAACCTCTACAGTTCCCAATGGGTGTCACTTGCCATTTTCATGCCCAAATCCACCTGCAAACGAGCTGAAGTTTACAAAAGCCAAGCTGACCAGCTGGGGGCCTGGGGCTGGACCTTTTGCCCCAGCTGTTTAATACTTGGCATAGTGTCTTTCGTGTGTGTAACTTATTAGCAGAAGGGAACGTCTAGCCTTTGCCGCTGTCGAGCAGCGGAGGGGAAGTGGGAATTCGTTCAGAACGGCAATAGGAAATCCTCTCCGAACCCACCAGCCTCCAAACTTCATAAAAACACCTTTCCCCAACTTCGGCTCTGCGCTGTGATCTGTTTACTTTAGTCTCCAAATTGCTGTTCGTTAGTTCAGCTCTTAAAACAAAGCCGTCAAGTGTACATTGTTACCACGCCCGACCCGACTGTCGCCCGGAGATAGCGCCTCATTGCTATGCATGTACAATTTAACTGTGCTGAGTTTCAAGCATTTAAAATAAAGCGTTTTCTCGCCTATCTAATTTGAAAATTTGACCTTTTGCTTATGTGCACGTGTTCATTCAGTACAAACCCTGGGCCGTGTGGGTCAGCGAGTAGGGCTGTTGGATGTCTTTTAGCGGGAGGAGATATAATTATTTTAACTATTTGATTGCAGAAGTTTTCTGGCTTTAATAGCAGTGGTGAGCTTTCATTTTTGGAGTGTCTAAGCGTTTGGGTTTCGTAAGGAGGGAAACCACACGCGCGGACTTCAAATGCCATCCCTCTGAAAATCCCCGAATCCCTACGGATGTTAATCTCCACCTGATCACAGTTCAGCAGCCCTGAGAAGCGCCGCTGCAGATTCCTCGTGCCACCGCTGCACAAGCAGCCCCTTTCAGCAGGCAGCGCCGAGCAGGGGCTAGTGATTCCAGTCCAGATCTTAGTGACGAACGGCGGCGAAGTTTACGATGACTATAACTTTGCGCAGGCACATTTTGACGAGCACCGGGCGCATCTTTCCGTCGCTAAAGGCTGTAAATGCGCGTTCTCCATGGCCACCTGCCTCTCACCCGCTACAAGTGGACGGAGAGATGGCTGAAGAGCCTGAGAGTTGTAGCCCCGTGGGCCACCCCTCCCTCCCGAGCTGCTTCCTGGGGGCTCCGCCAGCGTCCTGCTCTCGCCACTGCCCGATCAATGGCAACCACATCCCCAGGACTCAGCATCCTCCCGCTCCGTGGTGGGCAGGGCCCAGAACTTAGGGACCTCACTGCAGCTGCGAACCCATTGGGCTGTAGCAGGGACCAGCAGCTCCTCTCCCCCCGCTGTCTTGGGGAGGGGTATAAGAAGGGCTCGGACGCGGCTTTCCCAGCCACACGGCGAGGCGGCGGCCAGGGCTGCACCAGCGTCGGTGGGCGAGCGGCCCCATGAGCCGGCAGCTGGGCGCGCGGGGCTCGGATGGGGAGGACGAGGAGGAGGAGGAGGAGATCGACACCGTGGGGGCCGAGGAGGTGGAAGGGGGCAGCGGCGGGCAGGGGCAGCCCCGCCGGCAGGGGGAGCCCGAGGGGAAGCCGCCCTACTCCTACATCGCGCTCATCACCATGGCCATCCTGCAGAGCCCGCAGCAGAAGCTGCCGCTGAGCGGCATCTGCGCCTTCATCCGCGGCCGCTTCCCCTACTACGGCCGGCGCTTCCCCGCCTGGCAGAACAGCATCCGCCACAACCTCTCGCTCAACGACTGCTTCGTCAAGCTGCCGCGGGAGCCGGGCAGCCCGGGCAAGGGCAGCTACTGGGGCCTGGACCCGGCCTCGCAGGGCATGTTCGACAACGGCAGCTTCCTCCGCCGCAGGAAGCGCTTCAAGCGCCCCCCGCCGCCCGCCCCGGCCCCGGCCCCGGCCCCGGCCCGGCCGCCGCTGCTCTGCCCGCCCTGCGCCCTGCTGCCCCGCGAGCCGCTGCGCTACGTGCCGCCCGAGGCCGGGCTCCCGCTGCACCCCGCCTGCCCCCTGCCGCGCCGGAGGGCGGCCGGCTGCGCCCTGCACCTGGGGGTGCTGCTGCTGCGGGAGCAGGAGGCGGCCGGGGCGCAGCAGGCGGCCGCCGCCCCAGGCCGGGGCTGCTCCTTCAGCATCGAGAGCATCCTGATGGGCAGCGAACCGGCCCCCCCGGCCCCTGCTGCCGCCGCCGCCGGCCGCCGCCTGGGCTTGCGGGCCCCAGCTCCTGCCCCGCGCCCCCTGCCTGCTGCCCGCGGCGCTGCTCGGCGTGGCCTCGCCGCTGGACGCCGCCTGCTGCGCCCCGGGGGCCGGGAAGGGCGCCCGCCTCCTCCGGCCCGTCCCTGGGGCGGCGGCGGCGGCGGCATTGCTGGGCTGCCAGCCCGGGCCGGGCCCTGCCAGGCTGCTGCCCCTTGGAGCGGCACCGGCCGCCTTCTAGCGCCCAAGGGGACCGGCCTGGCACCGCCACCCCGGTCCCAGCCTCCGGCGACCCCTGCCGGGGACGTTGCGCGGACACCCTGGTGGGTGGCGTTAGCGCCTCAAACAACTTCATGCTCCGATCGGGAACTGCCCTGGCCGGGCCCTGCCTCGCGTTTGCCGTCGGGGCGGGCGGCTTGTGCACTGCCCCCCCATCCGTCTCTGGGTGGCGATTGTCATGGAGCGCCTGACTTTATGCTGCGAGCTGAAACTGACCGACTCTGCTAAACTTGCAGCAGCTCCGGCTCTGGCGCGTGGCGATCATGCAGCAAGTAATCCCCTCACGGACGTGTGTTGTCTGTCAAATGTTTACAAAGCGAAAGACTTTAAATGCGGGTTGTTTTTTTAAGGAACAGGTCAACCGGGCACTATAGTGAGCGTTGCGGTTTCTCTCCCTGTGCAACGTCAAAAGCGCATCCGGTCTGCATTATCTGAGTGAGAAATGAACTAAGTGGGTAACTTGTGGGATTCAAACAAAAACTTCAAACACAGGACAACTTCCCCTATAATACGTTTCCTTTTCTCCTCCTTTGAACGACAAACTTTTCAAAATGCCAAACGTACAATACTTATGTATCCTGTGTTTCCTCTTGTAACGGGTTTGCAATATAAATAGACATTGCAGCTGAATATTTATTGCCTGTGATCTGTATTTGGAGCTTCCGTGGGGAAATGTTAACATAAACTTGTGTATAGCCTAAATAAAAAACAATACAGTGCTTGTCTTTCCTTTTTCTGAAGTCAGTTACAAAGGATAACACAATTAAGCATATGCTCATCATAATATGTATAAAATCTAGCTGCCTACTTTCCAAACGAAAGAGACCTTTTCCCTTTTATGTTTTAATGGGAACAAAAGGGTCATTTCGAAGGCCCTCTAGGGGGTGTATTTAGAGTATTTCCAAGTGTTTCGGATATTTAGATTTAGGGTTTATTTCTATATGTTATTTGATAAAATCAGAGGCGTTTTTTTGTTCAAGCCCCAGTAGAAGCTGATTTAAATTGAGATCCGAACTGCCCCTAGCTTCACTGGGAGCAGAATCGGACCCGTACATTGGGATACCAGGTGTCACCTTCCTCCCCACAATGAGCAATGAAAACAAGCTAGGAGATGGAAAACAAATGGCACTGGTTTCTCTGATTCTTAGCGGTAGGTGAATGTGTTAATTGTATTTGTTTTAAATCTACCTTTAAATGTGTAATTTCCACATCTCAGTCTGCAAGGAGGGATACCACCAGAAAGAACATTCTTGCGAAGCTCACTGCTAGTTTAGGTGTCTTGAAAGGAAAGCAGTGAATGGAGCTGACATATAAAAGGAGGGAAGAGTGCAGAAGCCAAGATCGGGGGTAGGGTTTAGCAAGTCCCTCTAAGTCAATGCCCACATTGGACCATATGAACTGGAACCATAAACTCACTGAACATTAAATCCCACCAAATGAGGGTAAATCCATGCTCATCATGGTATCCGCTCATTATACTCCACACCTGAACATAGCCATTATATGAACATCATAACCCCCATAGCTCAGTGTCTGTACTTTGACCCATTAAACTTTTACCCCCAATGGGGAAGATTGCAGATTATGTATTCCTTATGCCACCCATTCCTAAACCGAATTTCAGACCCTTTGATAATCTGTACCTTATTCCCTGATAACCAGAAACTTCTATGCTTAAACTCTGTACCGTTTTCTTTTTTACTTCAACATCATCTTAATAAAATTATTAATGACAGTTCCCAGGGAAGGTACCTGCCCTGGAGCATTGCAAAACCCTTGCTCCCTTGGTTCACTCCTTACAGCCAACACTTCTTACGCCTTAAGACTTCTAAATTGTTTAGTTACCGGGGGCGAGGAGATTAAACACAATATGATCCCATCACATTGCAGTCTGCGCAGTGTACTTGCCTCTGCCTCACAAATCGAGGCAAAACTTCCTGTTGCTACTGAGAACCCGTATGCTCCGCCGGTGTACGGGCTGCTGGCTGGTCACAGAAGAACCGGTAGAGAGTTGAGCTCAAAAAAGATAACGCCTCTCGTCATCCAAAATGAATGTAGCTTTCCCCGCCCGCACAACCTGCGTTGTTTGTTTAGTGGAGTTGCCATTTAAAGGTGGAGATGGGGTGTTACAAGATTCTACTAGGCTCACGAAAAATGAAGGTTCTTTCTTATGCGCTTACCTGTGTGTCACAGTCTGCCTGTAATTGTATGATCAACTCTCAGCGGCACTGGATTATTTTATTCGCTTTGTAACGCGTGGTCACCTGTAGCCTGAAAAGTTAAGGATTCCTGAGCCTGTTCACGCCAACGCCTTTTTTCTTTTTCCAGGCTGCATTTCTCTGATTATTAAAACAGGACCCAGACAGTGCAACCCACCCTTGCGCCATGCTTAATATGCTTCTTCCCAACGGCTAATAATCCAGCCTGGCAGGCTGCACAGAGCAAGACGATTTAAAGGAAGCAGTAATGTGCGAAGGACCCGATTCTGCTCCCATTCAGTATAGCAAGAAGTGGATCAGGTCCTGTATCCGGAAGGATAAACTTTGTGTGGAAGTAGTTTTTGGTAGTTTAGATTGGTGTTTAGGCTCTGTTCCCTTTACGAGGTCGATCCTTGAATCTTTTTTGAACATTTGCATTTTGCCTTTGGACTAGGTGCAGGATCGGCCCCGCAGTGTGTAACAAATCTAATTAATGATCCGTCCTATTTCAGAGAATTTCTAACTGTCTAAGGAAAGGAAAATGTCTTCCTCTCTGAAATAGGGCTAGCTCCTTCTCCTTCTCCTTCTGAAGTAAATAGGAACAAACTCTCCCAGGAGGTAACTCCTTGTCTTAATCAGAGCATTGATCTGTTCCCCCCCCTTCCATTGATTGGGGGGGGGAAGGAATCTTTTTTTAAAAAATCTCAAACCAGTTTAGACAATCGGCAATAATTGCATAAACACTCCACTTTTGTCCTGGTCGTTTTTACTTTAATCCATGGATTAAAAATATATACAATGTATATAAACGACGAGGAAGCTGCATATTTATTTAAAACAATCAAAATGACGTTTCCTCTAAATCAGCCAAATGCACAGAAAAATCTGAACGATCCTACATTTCTGGACTCGGAGAACTGGAGTAAACAGCGGGACTCTAGGCCTGACCCAAAACCCATTGAGTCAATGGGAGTCATTCCGTAGACTGCAGGGGGCTGTGGATGAGGGCAAATGGCACGGGAAAGTGGTTCGCACTGAAGTGATGAGGCGCTGAGAACTGACAAGAGATTCAGAATTTGCTGTGCAATTAGAAACCATCAGCAGTTACTACTTTGCTTTGGCTATTTCAGCCTAACACCGAACAGTGCTCTTCTCCTGCGCCTTTCTGTCCCGTGACTAGGAAATGGACAGTCAGTGAATCGTTCTGACCGTCAGTTTTTTTACAGTTAAAAGATGAACCGCCTCCCTCAGACTGTACATATTTGAAGTTTCACCTAAATAATTTGTTTCTTCCTCTTTAAAATCAAATATCCCCCTCCTAATGTTAACTCACACGGGAGGCCGCGCAGTTAATGTATCACAGCCAAAAGGCAGCGTACATTCTGACTTCCCTTGAAAATTCATCTATAACCCACCTCCTGGTGCTTAAATTCCGCAGGGGCGGAGGGCTCTGAGATGAGGCCATCTAAGTGCCTCTAAGGAATGGTCCGCAGGTACTGGAATCTTGCCACACTGTTAACTTGATACTTATGATATCTCCTCAGGTGAAACAGAAACGAATGATTTCATTGGTTTTATTATGTGACTAGTTGGGTTAATACAGAGAGCTATGTGTTATTGCTAATAATCATTTTCTTCGACTTTATACAGATATTTATCTTTAAAAAAATAAAGAGAAAAACTATCTAGTATTTAAGGGTTTTCACGTTTGATGAACCCAATCAAAAGAAACCATGGTTTTCATATTATCTTTAACCCCCCATCCCTGCAGAGATGAGCTGTATTCCGAATGAGACAATACCACATTATAAAGATGATGTACACTGGGATTACACGCTTGCAGTATTCCTTTTATGTACGAGTATGTGTATCATGCCAAAACCTCTGCCTAGGTAAGCACCCGTTTTTTAAAACTGTAATACTTCATCATTAAAATTTGTTTCGTGTTTTTAAAATATAAAAGGCCAAAGCATTCATCAGCGGTGTTTGAGCCCGACCCTGCAGTCCTAACTCACGCCAAACTCTTTGGACTGCAGGATCGGGTTCTGAAATGGCAAGAAAATAGCCTCTGGTAGAGTTAGAGACTTTTAAGAAGCGCCTCAAGGCTACATTAAGGGTGATCAAGATTATTCCAAACCTCCGTCCCCAATTACACAACACCAGCCCCGCTTCCTACCTCAAATCTTTCTCTGCGGTCAATATGATGTGATAGCCAACGCTCAGTGAAGTGAATGGAAAGATTCTCGCTGACATCAAAGGGGACGGATCCGGCCCTTACTGCGTAGGCTGGCAGCCTAAATTACTGTGTTAACAGAGAATACTTCAGGACGTGCTCACTGATCAGGTGATCAGGTCAGGTCTTTTTAACTCGAGGCATCTGCTTTTCAAGAGGGGAAGAAAATGTTCACACGCACCACGAGTGATATTTAAGGCCAGCTCCTAATTACCTAGCGAGAGACTTGAGTCCGTGACAATGTACCTTCATACTAAGGGTTAGCACATTGAGCGCGTGTCCATGGCGGCTGACAGTACATTTCCGATCAGACTCAGAGGTAAGAGGTTATGGGAAGCATTCTTATACAGCAACATATTTCACCTTGAAGAATATAGACCATTCCCTTCTTACCCTACCCAAAGCATCCAGAAATTAATTAACCTAGAGCAAAACTCCTTAAACTGAAAAATAAAGAGAGCGTGAAAGAAGTTATCAGCTTGAGTTTCACAGGAAAAAAACTGCAGGGTTTTACAAAATCCATAAAACCCGAAAATAAAACAAACATGTCTTTCTTCCACCTCTTAAAATTAATGATAAAATCTAGGCCCTTTCATAACAAAAAACAAAACAACTTTGTTTTGTG